CCATCAAGCATTCGATTTTAACTAGAAAAACCAAGAATGGGGCCAAGTGACACCAGCATGACAAGATGAACACCTTAATGTGTAATTTTTCATGTGCATGCTCTTGGCTATTAGAAGTGAGGAATAAAGAAGGCTTTTTCAGCCACAGTAAGAGATTCTAGATAAATTACTTAATAATTTTACTAGACTGAGTGCATAGTACCAAGGAAAGAGTACCAAAAACCATGGTATTATGGCTCATTGACTATATACTGATCTTGTTATGTGTCTGAAAGTCAAGTTGGTGGGTTTATGTGTGAATTGAGGATGTTGTCATCTTTACATCCCTCAAGAAAGAGTTACAATACATCATTCTGCACTCCTGTAGACTGGCAGGCTTGTATATACCTTAGTATTTTTAAAATATTTTAGAGACAACAATGTGTTGTCTATACCTAGAGTGCCTAAGAAACATGGGTCATAGAATAGAATCAATATAATGTTTTAAGTTGGAAAAAAGCTCTGAGATTATTGAGTTCAACTATATAACCTAATACCACCAAGATGGAAGAGTGAATTTTGCAACATTTGTCTGTGTCCACCAGTGTTTAAACATTTGTTAAGGTCATCATTTCTTTTGGACTTTCTGTTTTGTTTCAGTTTGTTTTTTAAGGAACCTCTTGATCTCTGTGTTCATGATAGGTCAATAGTGGATTCAAAACTACGCTGTTACATCCATCAAAATTAATAGAAGTTTTTTTGGCTGTGGACTTCATCAAAGTGATTAAACTAGGAGGGAAGGAGTAATTTTGAAGATTTTGGGTCTGATCAGAACAATGTGTCCTGTCATAGATGGAAGGAAAGAAAGCACCTTATGTTCTCTAGGGTTTCAACATGGTACAGGAAGTTCTTGATGTCAGACTTTAGTGTTCCCCTGCCTACTACATTTAAAGAAGTCAGTCACCATATGTAACTTATTGGAAGAATATTGTTAATAGGGTAGTTGAGACTAATGTAGGAAAGGAGGTTCTGTCTTTGTCTGGAAGGAGGGTAAACGGATAAAAATTGGGGGTTTCAGAATCCTGTGGACAGCTAGGTACCAGAATGCCTGAACCGGGAAGCTTCCAAAGGATTCTCTCTCCAAGCCAATATTTGTCCTTTTGGTAGTTTCTCAGATCCAGACTGAATCTCTCATTTTTGTTGCCTTCTCTCTCATCAGTAGTAGAGACATCTAATGTTCTTTCTACACTAACTATCTTTTGTTACTTAACTTTTGCCTGGAGAGAGACAGTGACATTGCATTATCAGTAAAGAGCTATTTGTATTTATCCCTTTCTGATACTGACTTACAGGCTCACTGCAAGTGATTATAGCAGCAAAGGAGTCTGTGAGCAGTGCACAAGCATCCTGCTGTCTCCTTTTACTGCATTGTGAGTTATCAGTGTAGTATTTGGGAAATCAGGGGTCCTAATATTCCCATATTTCCTTTTTTTATTGACTATATATTGGTTAACTTGTGGATGAAGATCCACTGGTTTCTTATTTTGATTATTAATCACTGTTTGTTATCATTACCAGAAGTACAAACTGTCTTTTTTGAAGTAAAATATTCAGACAAACTGAGAAAATGCAAGTTAATTTGAAAGGGCCAAATTTATTGATTTCTTCACTTACTTGTGAAGCTGCATGCAAGATATCTGATGTCTGTATGGACACACTTCTAGTTACATTTTGAGCTAGTGAAAGATTATTGGAGTGTACATTTGCAAATTAAAAGAATGCTGGAGTCATTCACAGTTAGAAGAAAGTAGGTGAGCCGCAAATTTTATCAGTACTGCAGTACATTTAATTTCATAAGTACTTTCTTAAAAACAAAAACCAAAAACAAAAACAAAAAAAAAAAAGTGAGCTGGATAGGTGATGTGAAAAATCTGCTGGTTTTTGACAGTGTTAATATTAGCAATTCCCATAAAACTGTGTCTGTGGGGTGCCTCAGAGATTATTTCAGTAACATGCCATAGTAGAGCAGAGCACAGTTTACTTTGTTTTGTTTGGCTGACCTTGCCATTGCTGGCTTCTATTCAAGACATTTCTACATAAATAATTGGCAATAAATATTTAAACTCATTCAGATTTAAATTCATCAAATATGGAACTCACAGCAGTTTATCAGGTGCATGTATAAAGTCATTGTGGAATGGTAGAAGCTTATGGATTAATTTCAGCTCATATATGGTTATGAGAAAAATTGCCTTTCTTTTTAATAGTGCTGCGTGGTTAGGATAAGATTATCAATTGTTCTGCACAGTCATTTCTGCCTCTGCAGTCAGGAGGAATAATGGCAAATTTAGAACCTGTTGGGTAGTTGGAAGATTTTTTTCGATCGCTGACTCCTTAGCCACAGGTTTGCAACTTCCCTTAGAAGCAGAATGGGATTGCTTCTGCAAAACTTTTTTTGCAGAAGCTGGAAGTAAAATAATGTTCACAAACTTCTCCCAGCATAGGGAAACTTTTTCACAGCAGTCCTTCATTGTGTTAGCAACCAAGGGGTTTACCAGACAAAATGATACTCAAGGACACAGGAAAGACTGTACTGATGAAAGCAGCCTTTGCATGCAGTACTTCATAATGTCAACACAGGTTTTTGGCCACTGAAGGTGTGTGAGAAGTGAATTCTTTGTTTTCTGGTACAAGTGGCTGTTTGGTTTTCTTCCATTTTTTTCTTGTTTTGAGAAACTCTTTCTGCAAAGAGAAAGATTTGTGCATTGTATTATGTTTAGGGCTGGGCATGACTCAGGAGACGAGTGTGAAAAGCACATTTTATAAACATAACTTAAATAGCACAGTTAGTTTGCTAAATGTAATGCATTGATACTTTGGCAAAAAGAATCAAATGGATCTGCAACATACAAGAAGGTGTGAATACAGGAGTTATTCTTTGGCATCATCAGCAAAATCAGCTTTGCTCTCTGATGTCTCTTTATTTTGACTCATTCCACTACTTGGGCTGCATCAATCAGACATTTAACATTGTGTTGCATATCTACATTTTGCAGTACTCTGTAACAGAAACCACCTTTTTAGTGTTACTGTTCCTATTATAAGTGTATGTTTAAAGTAGTAAATCTTAAAAATATAGTATAGCAGATCAAACTATGATATTTATTTCAGTATTTCTATGCTCTTTATATTTTACTACATTATTTTATTTTTGGAAAATATTTTATACCAGAACACTGATCTATATAAACAAAGGTCTGTGGTTTCCTCAGTTTTATTAGAGTAATGTACTTTTTTTTTTTTTTTTTTTTTTTTTTTAGATCATGGTGTGCTTTTCTTGCCTATGTTATGTAAAATGTTCTTTTTCATTCTACTTAAGTGCATACAAAAACTTGAACTGAAGCTTATGAAGGCAAGCAGCTGTGAAACTAAGTTTTAATTTTAAAATAATATGTATCTTTATTAGATAATAAGCAAGAAAGAGTAAATGGAGCTTTTTATTCTGGTAGATTGAGTAGGATTGTTCTGACAGATTCAGTGTATTGATTTGTTGGGTTTTGATTGTTTGGATGTTGCTTTTTTTTTTTAATTGCATTCTTTTAATTTGTATGGTTCATTTCAAGTGTATCTTACTTCTAGAGGCCACGCAAAGAGGCTGTGAGCATAAATGGGTTTCAAGAATAAAGTTCAGGTTTAGAATAAGAATAAACAGAAAATTCCATGATTTCTTGTGCTTGTACTATAGTGCAAGACATCAAAATGGAGTAAATAATGTGAATATTCACCAACTAGTCCATGGAAGGAACAACTTTCCTTCCAACTGAAAAAATCACTTTAGTCAGTGCTAAAATAGTTTGGGCAGCTCTATTTTCGTATTATTTTTAAGACAGTTTAATTTTCATCTATACCACATATTAGCAAATGAATTACTGGATGGAACACTCACTTTCTTGTCTTGCTGAATTGTTTGGGAATGACTTTCTGCTTAAGAACAAAGTACTCAGTTACTGGTTTTGTCAGAATCTTGAGTGGGTTTTTTTGAGTTTTCTAAACACCCTAATTTTTGGACTGCTGATTCTTCTTGAATAGACTTCAATATTGTTTTGGCTATGAATTTCATACTTTTAATTGACCATTTTTTCCCCTCAGCATAAAGTCTCAGCTTTCTCCTTCCAGCATGCTGGTAATCCATTACAGCTAAGGAATCTCCATCACTGCAGGAGTACCTTCATATGATGCATTATATTGCAACTCTTTCATTTCTGAATGTTTCAGTGCGGAGTATTTTTGGAATTCTTTAGTACTAGTGCTTTATAACAGACCATGCATCTTTGTATGCATGGGAGAATTATGAGAGGATGCACCTCGTATCATCACTTCATTTTCTACAGCTGATAGTAGATGCTGAATTTCCGTACGCAAATTTTACCTGTAGTAATCCATGCTAGAAAACAACTTCTGTCTGATTGCAGCCCTAATGAAAGCAAATTCTGAGAGTAAAATTAATCAACCTGCGGCCATTCTTAAGAGCAATCTTATTAATACATTGTGGTGTGGCATTGTCATCTATCTCTGGTGTAATATAGCAAGAAATTTAAATATTATCTCTACTTTTTGAGTATTTCCTATTGCAATAAATGAGTGCATCCTAGATAAAAAAATAAGATCATGTTTTTCTTACAAGGTAATGTTTTCTTGTGTTGAGTCTTGTATGCTGTGTATTATGTGTTTAAAGTAAATGCAGGCCTACCCTGATATAAATAATAATTGACTTAATCATCCACTGTTCTCCACAGGAGTTGTCCAGGAGTTACCTGGATGACTTTAGAATGGGATTTTCTAAGATTTCAGAAGAATTAAGTAGAGTTTATTTAACTACTTTTCATCTTCGAAAGCCGTGTTTCTCTATATTATCTACTTTATTCTACATAGGTTGTGTAAGAACCGTAGAAGTAATCATGCTTTCTAATTGCTTTTTTTTTCTCTCTTTCTCTCTCTTTTCTTTTTTTCTTTCTAACTAGAGTCTGTGTGTATTTACACCACCAGGAGCTAAAGAAGGACACCCACGACTCATTCCTGCAGGGCCCATTGCACATGGCACTACGGTATCTGCTTATGTAGCCAGATCCAGAAAAACGTTGTTAGTAGAAGATATTCTGGGGGTAAAAAGCTTTCTTTTTTTAATGAGATATTGCAGCAAGTTCTTAGAATGAATGCTTTGATGCTGAAATGTTTATTGAGATGAATGTTTAATGATAGAATTTACATCTCTCCTGATAAGTAAAGGAATGAAAATCTGAGTTTGGATTAGCTGCTGGAATAATTGCAGAATATTTCATTTATTTCTAGTTTTAAAGGTTTGGGGTTTTTTTCTCTTTGTGTTTGGGTTAGTTTACCTTTTTTTTGGTTGTCAGGTAAAGGACATGATGGAACCACAGTCCCTTGCAAAAAATGACCAATCAAAACTCCTATCTTCTTGGTCTTGAAATAGTAACCCCAAATAAGACTTTCATGTAGTCAATCAAATTTGAAAATTTGATTTAATTTTAATGCAGGACTCACACTGACCAGAATGTCAGTTAGAATTCTGGTTATTAGACAAGATTTTTATCTCTACATACTCTAATGTAAAGCTAGAATACTGATAGTATCAGTAGATCTACATGAAAAATGCAGTAATGTAACTGATATCAAAATTCAAGCCTTTTTCTGTAGCAGGAGTTGGAAGTTCCTGAGGTGATATTCTGATAATTCTTGGCACTCTGTATGTCTGTCCTTTTTCATTTTTTTAAAACACTTCATCCTTTAGTTGCATCTGTGCAATTTTATGAAATTGGTATTTAAGCTGTACTTTGTGTAAGCACTTTATGTTTAGTTTATGCACTTCATGATTAGTTTATGTACTTTGTGTGAGCACTTTATGAGAACACCGAGGAAGTTTACATTTTTTCTCTCTTCAATGTTTCCTATCTTTTTAAGTTCTGTCCAGAATAACAATTTTTTGAATAAAAAAAAAAAAAAAAAAAGACATTGCTATCTCTACTTTTAACAAAATTATTTGTTAAAAAAATGTATGACCTTAGTTGGGTAAAAAAAAAAAATACCAGATGCCTAATGTAAGTACACTTAAACAGAGCCACAAAACCAAAAGGCAGAAAAACTGCTTTCCTTGTAGTAATAATCAGTGCTTTCTACACACTCTGGACTATTAAGATTTTATGTGTACATATGTTTTTCAGTTAAATTAAGGGTTTAAATTGTTACTGGTAATTTCCAATTAAGGTAATGATATCCTTACGTTCAAGAGTTCTGTATTTTGATTTTACATTCTTACTAAAATCATGGGGTTAGCGAGGAGGAGTTTTGAATTTTTTGTTAGTTTAATATTTGTGATTCATTGACCAAACAGCAAGATTCATTTTGGTGAGATAATTTGCCTTCATGTGATTTTAGAAGCTTCTCAACAGTGAAAGGGAAGCGCATGAAAAGTAGACTTGCCAGACCTTTTTTTGTGGGAGGACAGAACTAAAAAGAGAAAGCAGAAGGCTCATGTTTCAAAGTGTTTGCCACTCTCTCTTGTGTGTCATTTGTTCACATTGATTGTTATCTTAGTTATTAAGGTAGAGATTACTTGCTGTTTTCTTTGAGAAGTGAGAGATTTTGATCGACTTTGAAGGGGTGTCTGTCTTGCCTAAGCACAGGCTGCAGAGAGCATCTAGTATGAATCAGGTACTGAAGGACTGATGTGCAACGAAGTGGGTCTTGCACACTTCACACTGGGCAGTGACTGCCCTACTAACTGTAACATTCAGGTGCTTTCTCAGGTCTGCCTCAGTTTTCCTACATGGGGAAGTGAAGCTATAAAGCCTTGAACATTCTCTATGAGGGTTGAAAGTTATGTATTTGGGCCTTATATAGCAGCTGGTAGGGTTATTTTAACATTTGTTTCTGTATCTTTTGCACCAGTTTATTCAGGACGTGTAAGAAAAGGAAGAAGATTGCTTACTCTTATGCGTAACTTTTTGGGAATGCATTTTCATCTTCAAAAGTTGGTTGAGGATTATAACTGTATAACCTAAAGCCTTATCCTCAAGTTTCAATTTTTGTTTTCTTGCAAGCACTGTTGTCTGCTCTTTAATACTGAGATCTGAGCAGTCCTCTTTGTTATTACAAATTCTTTGGGGTTTTTTGGAGGAAAGGCTGTTAGGATGGTAGTGTTGCTTGTTTGGGTTTTTATTTAATCTGGACTGGCATTAGCAATAAAGTGTTGTTTTTTCTGCCTATGGGAATAGAGAAAAAAGCATTATATAAACAAACTCAGAGCTAGGTGTAATATTACAGCTAATTCTGGCCTTACATCAATAAGGTTATCTGTATATGTAAATTAATGCTGAGACTTCAAAATTGCATTTTTTAGTAGATATATTGTGTGGAAGTTATGCTGAGAGATGAGTTTTAGTGACTTTTGTGATTTTCCTGCAGATTTACTCAGATAGGAGGAGGAGGAAAACATCAGTATGTCTTTGCTCTTAATGTTTTATCAGATTTTGCATTTTATCAGATTATGTTTGCATTTCCTAGGATGAGCGATTTCCCAAAGGTACTGGACTGGAGTCGGGGACCCGTATCCAGTCTGTTCTGTGTTTACCAATTGTCACAGCAATTGGTGACCTGATTGGTATCCTGGAGCTTTACCGTCACTGGGGCAAAGAAGCCTTCCACCACAGTCACCAAGAGGTGAGCTCATGTGCAGCCTTTGCCCACTTCCCTGCCACGGTCAGGACTTTACTCTCATCCCTCCCCCCACTCCAGACTTTCTTCTCTCGCTCTTCTCATGAGTTTATATCTTTTTCATACTTGATTTTGTTCTTATTAAAAAGAAAATAGGTAGTGATTTGTATTTTCAGTCAGAGGAGGTAAAATATAAAGGGACACATCAAGAATTTTACCTTGTGTTCTTTTGCAGATAAACAGATTCAAAGTTCCTTATTGATTATAAACTCAATATAGAGTTGCTAGAGAAGTTAACACAGGGCAGGTAAATGAAATGTAAATGTAAATCAAACATCAAAACCCAAAATCACTTTATAGAAAAAAAGACAATGCTCAGTTAACCTGAGTCTCAATATTAACTTTCCAGTACAGCTTTATTTTACATTATGGTAAGATTTAAAAATTTATTTTAGTTTACTTTTTGGTGTGGTTTCTTAAGTAATGAGCCCTATCGTAAAGCAGAGTGTTGCAATGTTTCAGCAATGGTTTATCAAGTATCAATGCGGGGTCTCACAGGTGAGGAAAGTGATTTTACTTTAAATCAAATGTGAAGCAAAAGAGCTTTCTGATCTTTGCATCCATGTTTTTACTTCCACATGCTCTCCAGCACCAAGATGTGTCTGTCTAGATGGTATTTCCAGTTCCAGGTATCCAGGTGGTCCTCCTGAATTCCTTGCAACAGAAGGACAAGGGATGCTGTCTGCTGAGTCTCTGTGGTTTCTAGGTTGACAACCATGTGCTGGTTTTGGGTCAAGCTTTTCTATAGTTTTTAGGAGCTGATAGCTTTTGTCTCTCTCTATCCTCTCCCATCCCTGTGAGTTGTGAGGATCACTGTTCTTTTTCTCCTGACTTAGATGACCGTAGAAACTGTGTGGTAGAAGTGCTGGTACCTGGATGACCTGCCAATCTAGGTGATGCTCATAAAGCTCTCCTCTGCTTTTTTTAACTTCTGATGCTTCCCTAGCCAGATATTCTCATTCATACTTATCTTCCCCTTTCCATGACTGTTCTGTATGCATTACTCTGTTCATATAAGTTCTGTGCAGCTGTGTTGTCCATACATGTCCATTTGTCAATCTGTAGTTAGGAGCTGTTAGCCAAATACAAATGGATTTGAAAATGGAGCAGATGTTGCAAAGGCTGTTGCTGTACTAAAGGTGTTCAAAGTGCATCTTTGCCCTCATGTCCGGGTGAGGATCCATGTTATGTGCCATTAAGATGTCTCTGATGTAAAGATGAATTTCTCTCTCTGCTACCCCCCAGATAAGGGAACTTGAACACAGTTAGGACAAAATGGAGTGAATTCTATCCAGGCATGTTGTCTCAACAGTGGTAGGAGATATACTGTGGTGCAGTTTAGCTGTACTGAGCAGGAATTATTTGTGTGAAAAGGACAGAAGATATCCAGGCAAGAGATACTAAAACTAGTCCTCCCAAAGAAGGAAAACAGCATTTGTCAAGTGTATATTTTGTTTATCTGTAAGTTAAGTATGCTGGCATTCATCTGATGTTTATATGTGTATATTAGTTGGGTAGTCAATGCCACTTGTTGTCACACCTTGTATTTTTTCACCGGTAGACAGAGGTCAGGGTAGGGGTCTAGTGCGGTGGTGCCACTGTCTTTGCTCAGAGAACAAAGAACAGGCATTCATGCAAAATCAGGCTTCATTAATTCTGCAGCCTACACGCAATGTATTTAATTTTTAAGATTGTCCTATTACATTAATCAATCTACAATTCAGATAAGTCTCAGACATGCATTGTTTTATGAAAATATGAATGTCATATGAAATAGCTGCTGTAGCTAAAGTTCATGAATGTTCTACTTGGAAAAGACTAGCTGCTAAATGAAAGTATTTTGTTAGTAAATTAAAAATATTTTAAGGTCACTTTCTGAATGTTCTAAAGCATTCTTTTCATTTTCAGGTTTCATAAAGCCTTTGGATGCCATTAGTAATGTTTATGAAATGTGTGCAAAGTGTTCTGTTTAAAAATATAAAATAAAAAATACCTTAGGAGGGCATGCAAAAGCTGACCTCTTGTGCATTCCCTGTGTTCCTATAAAGCTCCCATGCTTCAAGGACAGGAGATTATGCATGGTAGCACATCATAGTTAGCTGCAGTTTACATGACAGTTGTTTGAAATGTTGCCTGGAAACTGTCATACTTCAAACACTTGAGCTGAGGGATCAGGTCTGGTTCTTCTGCCACCAAAACAGTAATGAGAGAAACGGTGCCTGTTTACAGCTGGAAGCAGCTATTGCTGAAGAGATACAGCCCCAGAAAGGCATATTTTATTTCTATGGCAGATGTCTTTCAACAGTGTAATTTTTAAATCCCTCAGATTATGAGATGTTTGTTTTGATGTTCTGTTTTTGAGCTGATGGGTGCCCAATACTGCTTCTGAAAACCATTGGTAAGCTCTAAAATTGAAACACTCGCAAGTACACTGAGACTTTTGCAAAATAACTGTCTTCCCTTTAATTGTTACTGCCTGACTGTCTAAAGCAGCTTAGTCAATTTACTTAGCAGGTAGATAGAGAAAAGAGGCATGTCACTGACGTGCAATTTTCAAGGTTTCTTCTGAGAGAGTTTCTTCTCTTTTGTTGCAGGTTGCAACAGCAAATCTTGCATGGGCTTCAGTAGCAATACATCAAGTACAAGTAAGTGTCAGTGGTTTTTAATTTTTTTGTTGTGTATCTTGTCTTCCAGAATGTATTTAGTAGGAGCATGGACTGTGATCAGATTTAACTGGACGTCATTGCTAAAGCATTGATTAAAGCACTTCCTTGAACCTGGAAAAATATGCTAACATTTTTGGTGTTCGTTGAACTAGTTTTCTTCCCTTGCAATCATGGATCAAATGACAAACAATATTTGTACTAAAGGAAAGAAATTTGAACAAAGTAGATAAATAATGATTAAAGCAGATTTATCCTAACAACTTTGCAGGGTTGTTTAGTTTTCTTTTTCTTGTGGAAAGGCAACTGCTAGGCTAACTGGTTGCTTTCCTCCTGCTTTGGCATTTGTTTTGAAATTATGAAGTGTTGGTAGCAAAGCCTATTTTAAGCCATCCTCGGTAGCTCCTTTAACTACTGCCACTAAGGATGCATCATGCTGTCCCTAGCTGGGTGCCTAATGGAGCTTCAGTGTCAAGCTGCTCTAGCAAACCCCAGCAGCATTGCTAATAGGTTTTGTTACTTCAGCTAGCAGAAGAAACTAAACATATTCTGTCAACTCAGAGAAGATGCTAAAATAGATTCTTCTGTCAACTCCCAGGAGGAAATTCATTACATTCTTTTTTTCAAGGTGTTCTTCACATACTTGCCAGAAGACATACAGAAAGCTTCCTGCTTTTCTCTTGTAGTCAATAATCTTTTCTGCTTTTATGCTGGAAGTCACTGACTTTGGGGTGGTCAATCCCATCCAGGCAGAATTAGTGAGCACAGATTATTATACAGTAGCAGAATTGCAATTGCATGCAGTTGTAGCTTTACCTATGTAAGAATTACTCTCTCCTTGATTGAAAAGTCTTTCACATCTAACAAAACACAACAGGGAAAGTGAAGTTCAAGCTTGTCCATTTTTATTTCTGTTCCTTCTTCTAAGCAGAAGGCTTGCTTTTCCCAAGTTTTTTGCATGAGAAGAATGCAAGAGTTTTGATCTGGCATTTTGTATCTACATTGCACAGATGAAAAATATTACTAGTTCAAAGTGGTATTTTTGTAAGTGTAGAATGTTCAAGCAGTAGAGGTTTGTTTTACTTTTGACCTCAGTGCTTGCTCTAGTAATATACAAATGTACAATTGTGCTTCAGATACTGAGTATCTGAAGTAAACATGAAGTATACATGAAGTAAAATACAGTTGAAAGCTTTGCTTCATCTAACATTTTGCTTCTAAAAAGAAGTATGCATACTATTTTCTTTATTAATATTCATGCTGATTTCTCCCTAAGCTGAGCATATATCATCTGCTGCTTAGCTTAGTTAAACTTGACTGATGTCAGACTACAGTTGTGTCTGTATGCGACTTTGCAGCTTGGAGAAAAGTGGCAAAAATGTGGTAAGGGAGAGGAGAAACAAAATATTTGACATTCTCAGAAGATCTGAGGGTCTGGATAAGGAAACGTTCATTCCATAATCACAGTCAGTGACAGCCTTTGAGACAGCATGAACAAGTGTAGAAACCAACAGCTTTAAGTGAGTCTTAGGAAGGATTTTACTCGTGTTTCACAGTTTTAACTCAGCAGCTAGATAGCTAAGATTGAAACCCAGCACACAAATTCAGCTTTAATTTCATACAGTGCTGTATCAGATAGGTGTGTGTGTATACATATATATACACACATATATATATGCATATATACATATATATGTATATATATGTATGTACACACACAAATACACACAAGTACTGGTGGGTTTTTTCATACAAATTAAAGGGATAGGACTTCAGTTTCCCTCTGACATCAGTGTTCTGGAGCAAATGGTTCTATGATCTGTGCTTCCAGGTGTGCCGGGGCCTTGCCAAGCAGACTGAACTGAACGACTTCTTGCTTGATGTATCGAAGTAAGTGTGATTTGCAAGATAATCTCATGAGTTTTTGATGAGCTTTTCTAGCGTGGCTCTTCCAATCTACCTGTGTTCACTCAGTAGCAGTAGTGGAAGCTACCATAGCTCACAGGCAGGTGCAAAGGCACACTTCAGAGGGTGGGCAAACTTCAGCACAGGGACAAGAACAAGTGGTATGCGTGGCAGTGGTGTATACCTTCATAATTCTTTTTTTGTGGTGGTGGTGCAGATGAAAATGTGACATTCATTTATACCTTACAGAATTTGTTTATTCTTGTGGTCTTTTGCATGGAGTTTTTTCCTCTTTTTTTCCATCTCTTCTGTCAAAGTTAAATGTGACCACCTTTTTAGAAGTGAAAAATAGCCTTGGTGTCTCACAGCAATTTTAAAAGGCTTGAAAGGACTTTAGAAAGTTGTTTTGTGTGCTTCAGCTTCCCCTATTCTCCCAAACAATTTTTTGGACATGAATGCATGTATTCATAAATATATGGATTTCAGAGTTAAATTCTTGAAGAATCAGGTCTGCTACATGGTTGCTCTTCCTGTACATTTTCTGAAGGATCTGTTTTAATTTTCAAAGACTTTTGTTGCATGTAATATGTTTGCTTTTAAATTCTTGTCACTATGACGCAAGATTATTTTGAAAGCACAGAAAGAGTGTGAAAGCTTGAGCTTACACTTACAAAATCAGTTTAGTGTCTTAGGTGATCTGCTCTTCCTTCATCTCTTTTTGTTTGTCACTGCTATGAGAATCTTTAAATAGCAAGGATAACCCATAAATTAAAAGATAAACCGGAGCTGTACTTCTGGTAAATCAGTCTGGAGTGCTTAACAGTATTTTATGAAACTAGTTGGTAGAAAAATTTCAAAGCACATCACAAAGCAGTGATGATACTGTGGAAAAAATGAAATGTCTTGTATTTTAGCTGCAAACACTTCTGTGGGTCTTGATGAACAATTCTCAAGCTGATGAGATTAGAGGATGTCCTAGATTCCTATGCCATTGCTTAGGAATGTAGGCAGCTGGAGGGGAAAGTAATAAACTACAGGAGGGACTCTGCCCCTCTGCAAGAAGGACAAACTGGTTGTAGCCAGATGTTTTCCCATACTTTTTCCTCAGGATGACTTTTTTTAAATTTCAACATAATTCAGAGCATGTCTCCCAAAGGGCATTCTTACAAAGTCTTGCATGATTATATTCCTTTCCAGAGTGCTTTTATGTTGCTAAAATCCATACTGAACTAGTTTACCAAAAAACTGTATTACTATATTAATCTATCCAGATTTATGTACTGGTAATTTTTTCGTAGAATGGCATAGTACTGAGATTGTTTTAAAGAATTTTGTAATTGTTTTAAGTTTTTAAGATGAAAAGTAATAAGTACTGCAAATATTTATTATGCCTTTCTATAAGAAAATAATTCTCATATAGCATTATCATTTGCTAGAGTTTTTTAGTTTCAATGAAAGAAGAAAGTCTGTATTTAAGGCACAAAACTGGGATATTATTTAATAATATCATTATGAACTTCATGTAGGCATCAGCAAGAAAATAATTTGTTTCCTCTTGGAAGTGGTCTGTATCTTTTCTAACATGGAAGGAGAATTTCTTTTCAATGAGGAAATTGTTAGTGTGCAATGTCACCAGGACATGTTCTGTAACATTTTAGAAAGGGCAGAGTATTCAGTGCTACACCCTCTCCATGCCCTATATCTGACCAGTATATTTTGTATCTCCTTTCCACAGAACTGAGCTGTGTATATATTCAAGGCCACGAGACAATGCCTTTTGTCTGCTGGGAACATTGTAATCTGAGGATTGTTGATACTCAGCATGTGGAAGATTTAGATTTCTTTTACTAATAAGTTTGACCTTTATCTTTCAATGTTCTTGACTGTCCTTGAACAGTTACCACTTTGCTGTGAAAATGAGATTTTTTAAAATTCTTTTTTATTTTTTAAGTTATGATGTCATTCCCTTTCTTCAACTTCAATGGGTTTTGATAGAGAAAACCCATTAAGAGTTTCTTAAGTAGTTGCCTTTGAACTAGTGTTAAGGATTAGATAATATAACATCCGTTTAGCTATTTTTTGATATTTTGAAAGAGTTTGTTGTTGTTGTTGTTGTTTTCTACTTCTTTTCTTTTCCTTTTGTCTTCCACTTTTAAAATTTTCAGTGTGTTAGAGGTGCCAAAGCATTTTGATGCATTCTTGGTATTGCTCAGCAGGAGCCTATTCAGTTCACGGCAGGCAATGTTTGGTAGTCTTTTCCTTTTTCTACAGAGAAAATTCTATGTATAATAAAGAATATTCTCAGTTCTGTAGAATAATGGCTCAAGGGAACAGAGCTAGGACCATTTCTTAATTCCCGTGTGCTGTAGCAAGTCAGTCAGTGATTTTCAAGGTGCTGAGGTTTGTCCTCGCCTTTTCTGGCTCCATGTTAAGCCATAGTGAAACAAGAGCCCCTGACGCTAATTTGAGAAGTGTTTGACTAAATGCCAATGTTTACTGACTTCTCTTTCTCTGCAGAACATATTTTGATAATATAGTTGCAATAGATTCTCTACTTGAACATATAATGGTAAGTTGTCTTTTTCACCTCTAAGTTTATTAGTTGTAGGTATTAAAGCCCTTCATTCTCTTTCCCTTGAAGACATTATATCATTGAAATATATGAGCTGTTTGTAATGAACACGTAACACAAACAGTATAAACATGTCTATACAGAAAAGGTGGTAAAGGATGGCTTGATTTGTCATTTTTGCAACAACTTCTGTTCACAGCTTTCCTAAGGACTGAAACAGGCCTGTGTCTGAACTAAATAGTTACTATTGTGTTCTGAGAAAGTTTGAAAATTGTAACAGAAAGTCTTATGGTTTTCTTTTTATTTCAGCATGTTATATTTATTCCTTCTTCCTAAATTCAATTCACTACATGTTACAAATCACTGCTGAAAAAGTTACTGTCTGTAGCAGGAATAGAGTTTAAAAATTACTCCTGGGGCATTTTCTCCAATTGTTGAATGAGATTGGTAAGACCTTGGAAAACTATACCCATAACGAGAGTGACAGTCAGTCAGTATTTTATAGAATCCACTAAAGCCAAGTGGTTAGTTCTCCCCATTGAAATATCTATTTAATGACTTAAAGTACTGTTCAGAAGCAGTTTATGAGTTTCTAAATAAATTTTGAATTAATAATTATATCCTGAATAGTGGTAACAATGTGGGTGAACTGGTTATTTATAATGTTTTGAGTGTTTGGTATGTGAATTATGCTTTTTAGTTTTATGCACATTCATTCCATTCTGCAGTTCTTTTTCCTAAGTGTAAACCTGAATCAGGTCTGCGATTACCATTGTTTAAAATTTGCACATTCAAAGAATTACTTTCCAACAGTGCTCAGATGCATGCCCCAGTCTCCAAAGTGATATTCTTAGCTAGACTATTCAAAGACAGTGATGTTAGAATGCAAAGTGGTTTTATTTAGAAACATGAATGTTTCTAAATAAATGGAAATGGCAAATATTCTGCAGTGCTTGTGTTATTCTAGTTAGTACACTGTCAAGAATTCTGCACATAGGACACATTTCTGAACATTGACTTTTCCAATTTAAATGAACCTCTTAAAAATAGCTTAGCATTTGAAAGAACTGGTACAACATAACTTATGGCATTGAGAACAAATATTGATATTCTTCACTGTTCTTTCCTGTGAATAGAGATCTGGTGGAAAACACAATTGGCAGTAAAACATGCTTACTCTTTCATCATCTTTTCCAACACTTGGCTGCATCATGATTCTGTATTTTAACCTGTGTGATGTTTCATACTCAGCTTCCTTTAAAGCTGTAGCTGTTGTCTCTTTCTTGAGCCAGTTATCTGAATTATGAGTTTGTACATTTATTGTCCTTTTATGGGAGTGTGATTTTATCATGATGTGGCTTATTCTGGGTCCCACTGTGAGAAAAGACCAGAAGTCAGTTTCTTCTGAGAAAATGAGAAACTTTTTTTCACTACTTCACCCTTTGGTGGTTGCACTTATGGTTTGATTTGTTCCTGCAATACTGAAGAAAAAATATGTGTGTTTCTTTTCATTCTTTTCATTTTTATTTCCATCAAAATCTTTTAGCAAAGCTAGTGATATAAGGGTGGTTTTGAATGTAAGTGCAAGGAAGGGAAGTAAAAGTTCGAGTTGCCTTACAAATTTTCTTTCCCTTATGCTTGAGTAGTTACAAGCAGCTTATGCGAAAGGTGGTCCCTGGCTTCCCTACTGACAGTGCAAAACATACTTTTTGTACTGATATTCTTTTTCAACCACTAGTCAGGATTTGAGCAAGGGATTTATAGAAGTAAAACTCTCTCATCCGATTAACTATTTCTCAATTAATACTGATTAAGTAATCATTTAAAGCATGAGTCATGAGCAAGGTAAGTTCTTGAGTCATATGCATTAAACCACAAAAGATTAATTGTATAAAATCAACATTGTGCTGTAGACTTTACAAAGAAATCTGATACAGCATCTGAGTAGAAGCATTTACTGGACCCCTTGTCCTTTTGGCAGTTTCTGTTCACTCTCTTTTGAGCAAAACAATAAGCAATCCACGTGGTTAAGGTCTTTAAATTTCTTGATGCTCTAAAGGGGAAAAATTGCACAAATCTTACCTCTTAGCAGTCTCCCTGACTTTTCTGTTCTGATGGAGTAAATGGAGTAGAAGACAACAGAATCTTCCTCAACACATATTCAGTCTGTATGGGAGGACCCTCAAAGTTCTGGACTTGCTCTAGATGGTATCTGTGCAGTTCCCCTCATATGGCATAGAACTAGAGTCTCTCAGCTAATGATTTTTCATCTCATATGGGTTTTTTTTTCTGCTGAATATTTGTCCATCTGCATTAGTGTGAAATGAAATACTTTATTGTTTTGTTTCTATTTTTGGAAGATGAGAGAGAAGGGGTGGGGAAGATCATTCATATGGAAGTCTTATGAATCCTTAAAACATACCAACTGCATGCATTGCACACCAAGATTTTGTTAGCCTCTTTCTGTAGCTGAATGACTAGGTAGGTATTATATAAAAAGTGGAGAGATCCACTTCAGATCCTACTCTACCATGCAGTTACTGTACTTTCTGAGCAAATAAGAAACACATGAGACCTATCTGAATTGGATAGAGAATGTTCTCGTGCCTGTATATTGGTATCTTAACACAGTGATCCTTGTTTGATTTTTGTCTCACTTTTCCCTCTTTTTCTCAGAAAGACTATTGTATGTCTGAGAAATACTTCAGTGAAGAGCTGCTGTGTTGCCAAGACAAAATTCTATTCTGACAGTCAGTGCTTCTGGGTGTTATTTTTGCTGAGATAAAACTAGTTGGTTCGAAGAGAGACTGTGCAAGTCTATTGCTGTACTGTCGTACTTCCTTGGCTGTGGCTGGTGCCTTTGGGCTTTGGTTAGTTCATGCACAATTTCTAAGTCTCAGCCCTTGTGCAAATACTGTCCCTAACATCAGGCGGGCACAGCCATTTCCTATCCCTCTGCATAGGGCAATCCATAATGATACCTCTAATGACAGAATCAAGAGTGTCACAAAATATTTCTGACTTAGAAGGGACCCACAAAGCTCATTTGGTTATTGTTTTTTACAGGCACACTTAGCTTTTTTAGAAGAAAACACTACACTTTCTGTTATGTCTGTCTTTGCTGGATTATTAAATACCAGTATATTTGCATTGACAATGAAGGCAAAAGCCAGAATCGTTCTTAGGTCTTGCTCTAACTTATCTATTTAAAATCAGATTAAGGTGAATATTATCTGAACCTAGAGGGAAGAAAGCTACTGTTTTGGAAGGCCTTGAAAAACAATTAAACAGGAAAGCCTATTTTTTGGGGGGAAACATTCAAGTCTCTGAAATATTCCTGCATTTCTTGAAGAGAACACGCAAATTTACAGAGAAAATATTGAATTCAAGATTTTGCTTCTGAATTGCATCCTAAAAGATTGCTCCTTCAAACAGATTTCCATACTGGATAGCTTCTCAAAACTTTTATCGTGCAGGGATGTATATTTTTATCAGGTAAATGACTGGAGATAATACAACTCATGACCGTTAACTCTAGTTTTGTTTTTTGTCTGTAGATATATGCAAAAAACCTGGTGAATGCAGATAGGTGTGCACTCTTCCAGGTTGACCACAAAAATAAGGAGCTGTATTCAGACCTTTTTGATATTGGAGAAGAAAATGATGGAAAACCTGTCTTCAAGAAGACCAAAGAAATAAGGTAAGAACAGCTAGCAGAAGAGTGCAGTTTCATTATAACTATGGATGTGCAGGCATTTTATTACCCAGTTTCTGTGCCTATCTGCAGGTACCCTGACAATGCTTGTCATACTGTGATATCATTCCCACCAGGACCCGCCTCCAGAAGGTAGTACTTCTGGGAATGACATTGCAGTGCCATCGAAACAGCGTCTCTGAAGCTATAACGTCACTCCTGGAAATGCCGTCTTCCGGAGGCGGTCCTTTTGGAAATCATGTTGGGAAAAAAACAGAGGTGTTCTGAGGTAGGTAAAGGTGCAGCTAATAGTGCACCTAATCCATAGTCTGCCAGCTGGGGACTTTTTTTCCCAAGAGGGTTCCCAAGAGGAAGTAAAATTGGTGTGATTCCAGCACATCCAAAGCAAGGAAATTACAATTTGTACTTCTTATGGATGGATTAGTCAAATGTAGAATTGAGTATGGATTGGTCATTCACTTTGAAGATTTCAAGCTCAGTAATTTAACTTTATTTTTCTCATGTGAATTTAGATTTTCACACTTACAATTAATTGTGATACTGAACAATGCTTGAAATGGTGAATTTGAAAATGTATATTGTCTGGTAATCACCAGAAAGGATTCTCTGACTAAAAGTTATGTGTATTTCTGCTTCATATCACAGGTACCTAATTTTTACTCTTACGCCCTTTTTTAATGAAAGAGGCTTAACAACAAAGTAAATATAGTGTTTTTCACTTTTTAAAAAGCATGACTCCCTAATAGAACCAGATGAAGATTTTCAAAGGCATACAGGTTTCAGATTTTTGTCTTCTTAAAAGTAAAGTATCCTGTACTAAAATGTTCCTAAAATATTCAGCGTTGATTTTTATCAGAACTATTTTCATTTCCTTCTTACACTTTTAAAGTTCTGAGCCAATATGAGATGTGATTCGTGTCTTCACTAAGACTTCTTTAGACAAACCTACTCCCACTTGCCATTGTGTGAGTGAGAATTGAAGGAATAAAAATTGGTGCAATTTGCGTACTGACAAGCAAGGAGGTGGTGTAAATTAAAGAAGATGGCCTGCTTTAACGTGCACTTTAAGAAGTATACTCCTTTGTGATAATTGTTGTTCTTGCTTATATCTTTCTGTCTTTTCTGTATGTTATTGAAATGTTGATTCTAAGTGCAAGGGTGTGAGCCGTTTCACAGGTACTGTATACTGAAAGTGAAGTGCAACTTAAATTTATCTGTAAGAAAGTGACACTGAGTGAGTCATCAGGAAGGAGTCTTAAGTTGGTGTGATGTACCTGTCATAAGAAGCAACAGAAAAATATAACTTAAAGTCAGGTGTGTAGGGTGAAATCTTGACAGCTTTATCACTAACTTCAACACCAGGCACCAGGGCAGTATCAGGGTACATTTAGACTTCAAAGTGTTCCACGTATGATTCTTTTTACGCATTTTTCTTCATAAGTTGTCTTTTGATTTTATGTCATAACTGCTTAATGTTGAAATATTGAAAAGTACTTACTCACAAGACAGACGTACAGATTTTTCTGATATAACTTAGGAATATATTTGTTGTGTTTAACTTCCTTGTGGTGATTATGGGACTTAGTACCATGGCATTGTTTGATTGTCATGAAACAGACTAGTCATTCCCAAGTCTACATGGAAAATCCATATAATGTTCAGCTATGAAATTTCCACTAATCTTTTTCCAAAATTTTGTTACCAAATCCACACATATATGCCACCCAAGGAAACAAGTTCCGTGTTGCCTTTGTTGTGTCTAAAGAAGCAATGAATATATGGAAGTCATAATAAAATCAATCTTTTAAATGTAAACAAACTCTGCGTTCTGTACAAATGTTATGTTTGTTAGGGATAACCCCCTGGGTTATTTAAGATTTTGAATTTTTGTCACTAAAATTGTAATGTTGTGTTTTATATTAAACTATATAGCTATATAAAACATTTCCAGAAAGTATCTGCTAGGATGTACTTTTTGTTTTATTGTGTGCTATTAGTTGTTTTAAGATTTTTCTCCTCAAAGCAAGAAAATGGCGCTGGTTGGGGACACCCATTACTGTGCCCAAGACAGACTCCACTAGAAAAATGTGTTTTCCATATTTTGGCTAATATACATTTTTATTTTTATTTTCTCCAGATTTTCTATAGAAAAAGGAATAGCTGGTCAAGTGGCAAGAACAGGAGAAGTCCTTAACATTCCTGACGCCTATGCAGACCCACGCTTTAACAGGTACAATGCTCTTCATTGGAGGGGAAGACAGTTCATCAAACCTTTTACATAAAATTACTACTTAAATTTCATATTGAGATTCATTCATGGAGCTGTAGTCCTCTGACGAGGAGGTAATTATAGATGTTTATTAAATGCTTGAGCCATCAGAGATATTTTTAAGATACAAATAAAAGTTTTTTTTTTAAATGGTGATATAATGGAGAAAAATTTATTTAGATTGTTGCCAAGTTTCATTATCAGTCTCCCTGCAATCTCATTAGTTTCATGAGAGAAAAACAGTTCACTAACAAATAGCATGCCTAAGAGTACCCGAATGTTCTTCTAACTCTGTGTTTGAGGCACTATTAATTATTTGTCTAGGATTAAAGGATTAAAAAATTCTTTCTAAGTATGGCACAGTAGATAAAAATATTTGAGGGTTTTGAGGGTGAAATTCTTGCAGGTACTAATTAGGTCTACTTTAAATGATTAAGTATATTTTACATCAACATTTCTGAGACTCAGACAATGGGAATAGATACCCATTGATATTAACTCTTTTCTCTTTTTTCTTTCTCTTTTATGGCTCTTCAGAGAAGTAGACCTCTACACAGGCTACACAACCAGAAATATCCTGTGCATGCCTATTGTGAGCCGAGGAAGTGTAATAGGTGTTGTGCAGATGGTGAACAAAATAAGTGGAAGTGCCTTCTCTAAAACTGATGAGAATAACTTTAAAATGTTTGCAGTCTTTTGTGCTTTAGCCTTACACTGTGCTAATGTAAGTTTTATTTACAGTTTTGTAAGTTATGATGAGAATACTTAAGTATTTTGATGTTACACCTTAGTAAAATGATTTGTAAGTCTATTTCATTGAATTAACACTGTATTCCTTGGTGAATAATTCTATTTTAAGAGGATGATAGGGATTTCCTTTGAAACAACCATAATCTGGATATATCAGTTTTGTGTAACTAAAATGAGAGAGCAAGCTCTAATATCTGTCTTCTCTTTTCCACTAAAGAATATTATTATTATTTACTTACATAAATTCAGATTACATTTTATAAATTTAATTGGGGAATGGAAATATGCTATATATTCTCTCAATTCCATATTCTTAATACTCAAAGATCAAATTTTACACTTATATGCTGTGGTATATGCTTATAATTATCCATGCTTCTAGATAAGAGTGAGTAGCTATTTTTGTCCTCAAACCCTTTGTCATCTCAAAATTTACTATGCCTGTAGGAAACATAAGCAATATAATGATCACTGCTATATAAGTATAAAAGTTCAGTAAAAATGCAATGCAGAAGAACGGAGTTATATTCATGGGAGGTAAGATAAAATGCAATGGCAGTTAAGCCTGGTGATTTACATTAATTTTACCAATATCATCCCAGTGGTACACTGGGGCAGCAAATTTTATTACCAGGTGCCTCAAGTTGTTTAACTTGGATCAAGGCAGGTAGAATGGCCTGTATATAAATGACACTTGGGACTATGCACTCATTTGTGTGTGAGTTCACTACTTTTGGATGGTGAATGTTGCCATTCAGGGCATAGTGCTCCAGAGGATGTTTTTAGCTAGTAGATAGTTATGTCCTCACTTGTTTGCAAACCATGCCATGTCTGAGCCTCTCAGTTATTATTATGTACTTATTTTTCATACTGAATAATAATGTAGTTATGATAAACTGCGCATAGATAGCAGTAATTTGTGCCAATTAATAGAATTCATACAGTGGCAGAAGATATGAATTGTGTCCTGTTGTAGGTTTTCTGACAAAATTTTGCAAGGGACTTAGCTTTGTTTTTGACTCCAGAACTTGGATTGTTTTTCTTGGGAGGGCTCACATGCAATTAAAAGTCAGCTAAGCCTTAGATGTTTACCCAAGTGAGTACATGAAGAGGTTTGCCAGAAGAACGGAATTCAGTGTAATCTATTGCTTTTCTAATGTGTGAAGTTGTGCAGCCAAAAGCACTATCATTTCTGCAGATGTGTATCATAATAATCACTGCTTCAATACAGGAAGTAATTTTTTTTCTTTATTAAAATTCCACATTCATGCATGACTTTACTTGTTCAGATGTACCACAGAATTCGTCATTCAGAGTGTATTTACCGTGTGACGATGGAGAAGCTATCCTACCACAGTGTTTGTACAGCAGAAGAGTGGCAAAACCTCATGCACTGTACACTGCCTCCACATATTTATAAAGAAATTGAGCTGTAAGTATTTTTCTAATGTAGCAGCAGTTGTATATAGCCTGTTGTTTTTTTTTTTTTTCTTATTTGTCGTGGAGTTTTTTTAGGAAGCACTTTCATTATTGAACCACATCAATATCATCGTGGTTTTATCTCTGGCTTTCTTATACTTAGCTATACTTAATGACCCACAAACAAAATTTATCCATCAAAGATATAAAATTATACGTACTCAGAATTTTTCCACAGGCATAGGTAGTAGTTGCTTTAAACATTAGTTTTTACCTAGGATTTGTAGAGATGAGCTTTCATTCTTATAGTCCCAAATCACCATCAGCTCAGAGCCGAGAGAAAGCTGAGCTTGGAACATCACTACTTAACACCAAATGCATAATCTCATCCCCTTAGATATGTTTTAGAATTAAACCTATTTCTCCCAGCTTATTCCTAGGGTTTTCTAGGTTGTTTATGTTTTTTTAGGTTTGGTTTTGGGGGTGTGGTTGTGTGTGTTGGGGGTGTTTGGTATTTTTGTGAGTTTCGAGTATGTGTGTGTTGTGCATCTGCTTGTGTTTATTGAAGGGGAAAATGATAATTCACAGTTAAATATCCCAGGTGCTAGAGGGTAGAGTTGCAGCCTAACTTTGGAGGAGGACTTCCCATCCAACCTTTTAGGCTTTCTCTGACATAATTCAGTTATTTTCAGCTGCTGTATGCTGAAGATGAACCTCTACCTGCATTTTTTTGGCCAGTCCCCACTCAATGCTAACAATGGGAGCCTTCACATTTTTAAGTCACTCTTTTTGGTCCAGGACAATAAATTCTACTCTAGTAACCAAATGCCTAAAATCAGCTATTGAGTCTCAAAACCTAAATTGTCTTTTTACACCTCATCTCCAGAGCTTGCTCACTTTTGTTCAGCACTGAGCATTGTGGCTGGGAGCAAGGTGAAAGCCTGTGTTTAACAGGGACTGCTTATTGTTAAAGTTCATTACATGTTGAAGTGATTTGCTTGAATGCCAGAGCATTAACAGCTTGCAGGATTACACCCTAATAGAAGCTTATTTTTTGTAGTACAATTTCTTGTGCTTTGTTAGGTGATATTATATAACCCACCTCCTCAGCAAAAATGAATTTTACTTGCAAAGATGACAGGTTTCATTCTAAATTATATTAGCATCCTTTAGTTTAAGCAGAACACATTTCACCATTTTCCAAGCAATTCAGCTACCTTCATTGCTCTCACAAACTGCTGTGTTGTTCAGTGTGGCAAGCAGTTAAGGTTCCATGGAGAAAAAAATATAGGACTTGCAGCACGGAAAGTGCAGGGAAATGGTTAATTAATAATTTAAAGAAAAAACAATTTTTCTGTCCTGGGTCCCTAAAATTAGGCCTCAGTATTGTTATCAGGGGAGGGGAGAAGTCTTCAGGTAATGAAACATTAAAGATATGGTATTAAATGTTAAATTTTTGAAGTTTTGGCTTGATTTCTATTAGCCAGTAAAAACTGATTTTTTCCTCTATCAAAATTAGAGTAAGTCTCATGCAATTTATGACAAAAATTATTGGAAAAAGGGCCAGTAAATACATTATTAGAGACACCATCTTTACTATACCCGGGAAGAAAGTCCTGAATATTTTAGAAATGCCTGTAAATCTCTCATTGTTCCTGAGATTTTTTTTGTCTATTACCTAATCTGTGGATCCTTAGATAAAGATAGATGTTTCTATTATGTAAACAAAGCCAAAAGCTAGCTGTTGAACTCGATCATAAGAGTCTTTTCCAATATAAATTACTAAATTATTGTATGAAACTATAAGCATAGTTCCATTGACCTTAGCAGGAATACGTAACTTGAAAAATATAACCTGTAAATTCAGTTTTCTGTGTGTATTCAGAAAGAAGTGAATCTTGCAGGATATACATTTCCTAGTCATTTTCACTTGTTTTTAGTAATAATGAAAAGGTATTTGTCTTTTCTAAACTGAAACTTTCTTCTCTAGATACCATTTTGATATCAGTCCATATGAAGATGTTTGGCCTGCTATTTTTGTCTATATGGTTCACCAGTCCTGTGGGACAGCCTGGTATGAAGTATATTATTTCTTTAGTTATTAAGTCTGTGCTTATTTATTTCTAATTTTTGAGATAATTACTTCTGAATTCAAGGTCTGTTTTCTTTGATGTTTATTTACTATGTTTGGTCTGTACAAGACTGTAATAAACACTTTGGATTTCTTGTCCCACCTTCTTGGTCCTTAGTTAATAAAATCTGGGAACAGTGAGGGTAAAGTACTCATGATATCATCCTAACAGTTGACCTTCCAATTGACAGAAAAACTTTTTGGTTCTGAGATGAATTTGCTTTTCAGACAGAAGATGGAAAAGGCAGCAAAAAAGTACTTTTCCCAAAAAAGACTGAAGGAGCATGAAAACTGGTTTTTCAGATGTATACTTGCTGAAATTAATCATGTATATGGTAAAAGTAAACCAAGATCAGACCTTATCTTGCTAAATTAATCAGTTATTTGCATAGTGTTGCATTAATTGTGGAAGTGAATTATTTTCAAATTAAATGCTTCATTTGCTGTCATTTCTCTCAGTGTTCCTTATTATTACTAAGATCAGTAAGGTAAGGATGGCCCATTGCTAAAATGAAGGAGCTGCTCCAAATTATGGAAAACTTACAGATGGTCAATTGAAAGGGGAAATATGTCCCTACAAAAGGGAGCAACACTTGGGAAATGTTTGCTGGCATTTAATTTTATTTTGCTAACTGATTGGATGTCCTCAAAGTGTGCAGTCAAAACAGAGGATCTTTCAGTCTTCCTCGATGCTGCGAAGTGGGTGACTCTTCTGAACACAGTACTGTACTGCTTAGTGCAGTTAGCTTGTTTCCATTCCAGACTGAATAGCTGTGGATGCAGAGTTTGAGTTTGTATTTTCAGTCAGGTTCTGTTCTCTTCTCTCTCTGACTCCCAGTCTCTTCCTTTCAATGTGTCACTTTGATGAGAAAGAATTGATACCTACTTGATGTTTATCAAATGAATCTCAACTTTCACATACAAAATTAGGCAAACAAAAGTGAGGAAAATATTTCAAAAGGAGATTGTTGGAACGGGACCTGTATTTAATTTCTGAAAGAACAAAACTTCTCAAACCTTTGAAACAAAGCCAAAACTTTTAGGACTTAAATTTGATTTTAATATATTGAGGAATAAAGTTATGCCTTAAAGTAGTTACCTATGTAATGCATAATTTTCCTGTCCAGGGAGGATTTCAGAGAAAAGTCTGTCATACTCACTACATTTTCTCTTCTGAAGAAATAATATTTTACTGCTTAATCAAGTACAAAATACAGCAGTGGATGAAGTAGTAATATTCTATGTTGAGGCAGCACAGATAATGATTTTTCCTTTGTCTATAATTGTGCTATTGTGTAATAACCGTTGAACAGATTTGGATGTAGGTGAAAGTGACTGTTGTGATATTCTGAATTGTGATGTACTACTTTGAACAATAGAGTTCTATTTCTTTCTGACTTCCTAGAATTAAAAGGAAAAGCCTAAAGTTTTTTGAAAGACAATATGCCTCTGTTTTACCTTATGTCAGATTAAGGCTGAAAATAATAATTACGCTGAGCAGCACACAACTGTAGAAATACACATTTCTGCCTGTTTCCACAGAGTAAATGTGTCTATATTTTTATACATAGGTCAGAGAGGTTTTTTCTCACCCCACAAGTACTGCAAAACTAGAACATTAGTACCACTTTCCTGATATACCCAAGAAATTATTAAAAGATGGAACTTAAAAAGAAAGTCAAATCACAGCAACAGGGGAAAAAATGGAATAAAGGAAAACTGCCTTTTAATGAGGGAAAAAGTAATTTATTTAGGACTTAACAAAATATTCTTTGTTGAGAAGTGAAGAAACCATGAGATGTAAATTTCTGTTCTGTGAGTCTAAACTGAAAGAAAAAAATCTACAAATATTGGAAAAAAAAACAAAAAACCTTCCGCTTCTCACAATGTCAATATGGAGCACGTCTATTTAACCAGGTTTGTCTCTTCTGGGTCCTTTGCTTTAAAAGCCCCGAATTTTCTGTTTTGATCACAAATCATGTTTTCAAATTGTTCATTAGATGCCGAGTTGTACTATATTTCAAGTTGAATAAGCAATTGAAAGAAATCAATTCAAGTTCCTGGGAGAAGGGAAGGTCCTGCAATTGTATTGACTGAGCTGGGTAGCATGACTTATGTTCCCGAATTTAACAGATTAAACCAAGAGCATTGTCAGGCATTCACGCTCCTCTGTCCTTGCCAAACTTGAGTGACTCTTCATGTCATTAAATAAGTCATCCACAGTGAGAGTCAATCCTAGCAAGGAGGGTAAATCAAAGACCATCTTTTCTCCTCTCTTGGTTGTTTTTCCTGTTCCTATTTCTTGTCTCTGACCAAATTATTTTCTTCCTAGCTTTGAACTTGAAAAGCTCTGCCGATTTACTATGTCTGTAAAGAAGAACTATCGCCGTGTGCCCTACCACAACTGGAAGCATGCAGTTACTGTTGCACATTGCATGTATGCCATACTGCAGAACAACCAGGGACTTTTCACTGATCTAGAGGTAGGTGACATAATGGTATCAGTTACCACACCTCATCAGAGCTGTCAGAGCTGTACTTGTTGTTCAAGTACATTTTCTGTGCTGGAGGTTTTTTTGTCAGCTTGGGCAGAGTGTATGTAAAGGCCTGCATGGAGGAACGGATGTCAGTAAAGAGTTCGAGGAAGGATTACTCAGATTCCTAATCCTAATCATGTTTTTCAGGACTCCCCTTAAAAAGCCGTGGTTGATTTGCTATAAATCCTTGTCTAAGTTTTGGAGTTCTCCCTGCCCCCTTACAACCACAGTCTTTAGTTATTTCACTAACTGTCAGATCTGTCCCTCTGTGAGGGAGGGAAGCACCCTGGATCTTGAATCCTGTGAGGTCTGGGAGATATCCTAAATAGGAGGACAAGAGCTGCAGAGCTGGCTGACATATGTGAGTAAAGGAGAAGAGCCAAATGCTAAACTGATCACTAAGTGGAAAAGATAACAAGTAAAATGGAAGGCTTAGAATGTTAATACACAATATGGAAAACTTTCACTTGTTATTCTTCTGAATTATGATACAGCAGGGAGTACTGTCTCTAATTAATGTTACATGAAAATTCTGACTGGGAGAACTTGTTGTCAGTTGTGTATAACTCTGCAAAATATTATCCATATGGGCTGTAATTTTCCAGGCTCTGTTAACTTCCTTAAGGTGATTCATTTGGGGAAATTCCAGGCACAATTTTTTGGCTCTTTAAAAGAGACATGCTAGTAAAAATCAAAGTTTTGTTCAATGTATAAGAATAAAATGAAACTTGGTGAGCTTTCATTTGCTAAGGTATAGTTTATCCTGCTGTAAAGCATAGAATTGAAAATTGACACTGAAATGCAAAAGTGGCATATGCCAGGCATATGCTGAAATTTGGCCAAGCTATACAAGCCTGAAAAAAAGAATCAGTATTATTTAACACACACAAAAAAAAAAAAAAAAAAAAAAAAAATCTGTGTAGTACAGCCTCAGAGAATTTTTAAAGCTCTGATAACATTCAGTACTAACCAAGGAGTAAGCCCCATCTCTTTGGAGGTGGAGAGTAAGAAAGAAAGGGAGAGCAAAAGAGACCACTGTTAAGAGAGATAGAAACAGTCTTTTTTTCCCTGCAAACTCCAGCCAGCCTTCATCTGATTGAGTGTCTTATCCCCAGTCTATGTTCCTGCTCCTTTCAGCAGTCTTTTTTCTTGATACTGGAGATGAATCCAACAAGAATACAGGAAACTGCTGAAAGAAAGTTCGGGGTTCTAGGGATGGGCTGACCTCAGGTGAGGGATGCTGACAGGAACCTCAGTAGATTTAGAGATGGGAAGATAAAACACTGTAAAGAAGACACTGATCTAGAGAAAAATAGAGAAAAATACAGTGGTTAAAGATTTGGGATCCAAGCAGGTACCAAAATAGTTACAAGGACAAGAGCACAGTTATTAGGCATTGTATAATCCTGAAGGACTGAGACAAGAATGACTTCTTGAGACATGGAGACTGGGACAAGCTGTTACTGCATGACTTCAAGTGATAGAGGAAATCCTAAGATTTCCTCCTCTGTTGAGGACATGTGCTGCTGCATCACCTGAGGGTTTTTATATGCTTTTTAAAAATACACTTCACAAGATGCAGTACTGAAAAGATATCATTCAAAACAGAAGTGAATGTCTCAAAATCAGAAATACACCTAGCTTTGCTACAGCCTTATTTCTGCACATGGTGTATTTGTGATAGTATTTCTAATTGCATAATTGGTATTTTTCCACAGACTCATGAGTCTCTTAGTATAGTATCCAGGCTGGATGTTGTGCACTTAATAGATGGCTAATCAATTTATCCTTGTTTACTGAACACTCATCAGAACCAATTATAAGACAAAGATATTGTGTCTCTGACGAAATTTTTGTGATACTTCATGCCAACAGTGACAGTCATAAACATTAATTTTTTTTCCAAACACATAAGCTGAAAACCTTTTGAAAAAGAGATTTCAGGGACACCATTTCTTCAGGATATTAAGGATTAGTTATGTAAAAAACCTACTTACTGTCTTTATTTGTTTATGATTGCATTGTCCAGCATTGTCCATGACTCATGTCAGTGACTTCCTAGGAAAAAAACCCCACTAGGAAGTTTGGTTAACATCTCTAGGAGTGTTACAGAGCAGATCTGGCATTGAACTTCAGTGAACCTATCTTGACCAGCAGATCATACATTTTGTATGTTTCTTCTCCCTCAATAACTGTGCTTTTTATTGTTTTAATAAACATGGTAAGGATTCAGTGGATAACCAGACTGTTTAAAATGCAGATTTCTTCTGAAGCACAGTCCAATGCTATGTTACTGTTTAACAACGATTTTTAAATGCATAATATAATTACAATTGGACCAAGAATTTTAATTCAGCATGTCCTTACTGTCATGTTTCTGTCATTTTTAAGGATATTTCTATGTGTGCTGTTTGAAGGCAGTGTTAGTGTACTGCAACTTCTACAGTATTTTGGGCAGAGAGTGACATCAAAGGGCAGGAAATGCATCTTGATTTTCATGCTTGTGTCAATTTTTTTGTAGAGAAAGGGTCTTTTAGTTGCATGCCTGTGTCATGACCTGGATCACAGAGGTTACAGCAACAGCTATCTTCAGAAATTTGATCACCCCTTAGCTGCTCTCTATTCCACATCAACGATGGAACAGCACCACTTCTCGCAGACTGTGTCCATCCTGCAGGTAGGATTATTGAAATTGTATGTTCTGTGCATTAGTGTTCAGTGGTGGAAAGAGGAGTCATATCATTGCCAAATAGATTTTCGGAAGCATGCTTAGAAATTATAGAATTAACTTCTCTATTATAGTACTCATTTAGATGAGTAGAAGATTTATTACAGCAAGCCAGGTTTCACAGCTAGCAACCCAAGGATTCAACAATAGTGCAAAACACAGCCTTCTCAAAATCTTGAACTTATAAAAATCTTGTGTGTTTTAAGGTCTTTACTTATGGCCTGCCTTTGAAGCTTTTTGCTTCTGATTCTCTGGAGGCATTTCCCATGAACATGTGGAATAGGAACTTTGAAAATTAAAAATAATTTTCTCAGATACATATATATATTTTTGTCATTTAAACAAAAATATATTTTTTTATTTAAAAATTATTTAAATAAAATCTTTATTACAGCAAGCCAGGTTTCACAGCTAGCAACCCAAGGATTCAACAATAGTGCAAAACACAGCCTTCTCAAAATCTTGAACTTATAAAAATCTTGTGTGTTTTAAGGTCTTTACTTATGGCCTGCCTTTGAAGCTTTTTGCTTCTGATTCTCTGGAGGCATTTCCCATGAACATGTGGAATAGGAACTTTGAAAATTAAAAATAATTTTCTCAGATACATATATATATTTTTGTCATAATGTATTTAAACAAAATCTTCAACTATCCTGAAGCTTTGAATAAAAACTCAAGTACTAGTAAAACTTTGTATGAAAAACTTGAAAACCTGCTGTAATAAATTCTGTGAACATTGAATGTGTGGCATGAGAGGGGAGATGTTAATTTTTCAAGCATGAAAGTCGTAAACTTATTTTGTTATGTTATTCTGTGCTTATTTGTTACTCGGCAATTTGATATTTAAGAAATCTGAGTAAGGTAATATTCTGTGAAAGAGAATTTCTAATATTAAGTCATGTGTCTTTATGTTTAATGAAGACAAATAACTACAGAAAAACATGTAGACACTTCTTGGGAAAATACAGGTGTGCTAGTGACACACACACATTTTCTCATGAGTGAAATTTTTATAATTCTCGATGATTAAGAACTCTTACCTGTGAAACCACTCTAGTCTATAACATACTTGTGCTCACTAGTTTTAGTTTTCCATGCACACTCAAATTACAGCATAACCTTGCTACTGTACCACTGATTCATTGTTAATCTTTCTTTCTTTCTGGTTTTTCAGGGGAAGATGATATTTATTTTCTTAAATTCATAATCACCTTTTAGGAAAAATACATATTCTGTCTTGTATTCAGAATCACATCTTGTGATTATGGTTTTAAGTATCATATGCATTTAATCACAGAGTGGAAGCTTTATCTCTGAATGCTCCTTCATGTAGGAGGGTGTAATTGAATCCTTCAGTGGTGGTATGGCATTAGATGTTTAGTGTTCATTCTTTGTGTGAATATGTGCAGAGTGAGCATGTTCCTCAGTCATTAACTCTTCATTGTCCCAACCATTTTGCATTTTTTCTGGCAGAAATGCTGTAATCAATGAAAATCCCATTTGCCATGAAGGCAGGGAACCCTTTTGTTTCCCCAGCACCTCCTACATTTGCTGTCAATGTGAGTGAGGTAACAGGGATAAGTGGCCAGGGCTGTAGAGTGGATTCAAGACACCAGCTGCTGAAAGCACCCATGGGTGATAATTAGCAGCAAAGGTGGGCTAGAGCAGCCTTTTGGACTTGCTGGATTTTGTTTGAATAAAAACTCTTATTGAATTCATGGACTGATGGAAATAAAAGCCAAACCAACTCACCAAGCTCTTTAGGATTTATCTGAGTTTTAATTTTACATTAGTAACCTGCAGTACTTTTAACTGCTTGAAACTTTAAAGCTGCTTTGCTCATCCACCTGCAGTTTGAGTGTACACCATACTTAGGACACAGCATTCAATTCACTAGCTTTAGCTCAGCAGGCAAAGAACAAAATCTTCGGAGTTGTACTTTGTATGTACTACTCAAAAGCCTAAGTGGCACAAACTCATAACAGTCAGCTTCTATCAGCAGTTTACAGAATCAGTTCTTTTCAAGTAATCTGAATAGAAGTTGTCACAGTGGTCTTTCTGAGAGTGCAGCTTCTAAAGCCCAAGAGTAGAATCCAGAATAATTTAAATATTAGGACAAATAGCCTGGTCCCAGGAATTAGACAGCAAGGCTGGAGAGTAGAAGGTCCCCAAAACCCTAAACTGTGAGAACTAGCAGTAGTAATTTTTTGCTCCCAAAGTGCTGATGATGGATTGAAATGTTCCGAATTTTTTTTTTAAACATAATGTTCTGTGACTTAGAAATCTGTCAAAGGAGCATTGAGACATAGATAGATTGTATTTGCTATTCATTATTCACAATAAATCTACTTGTCTAAGTAAAAGTCCTGGAAATTGATGTTTATGTTCCGGATGGTGAGAGAAACCAAGCCTATTTGTACTGCAGAGGATTTATTTTGAGCAAATCATGTAAATTCTTGACGAAAGTGAGGGAAACTTTTTGAGTTTCAGCCCAAATGCCAATTAAGTGTCAAAACACCTCTGCATTTGATATATTTTAATGATATTTTCTTTTTCTGAATGTGCACACCTTGACATGGCTAGTTCATTCTTTTCTTTTTGTCTGCTTTCTCTCAACATTAGGAAGAATTTTGACAACTTGTTTTCAAAATCTTAGAGACAGTAGATAGTCTTGACTTTCCAAAATGTGATATAGCTTCATAAGTCATCACAGTGCGTGCATATTGTCAGTTAAATGCGCAGTAATACCTTTTGGATATTGAAAAGTGATGGCAGTGGTGTGTTACCAGAGCCTCCATAGCTGAAAGCGTTATCTTTATGAGTCATTCAACTTAAGGTTGAACAAAGCAGCTTTTCCCTCTAAATGCTGATATACTTTAAAATAATTAACTTTATTTTTGTATAGAAAATTATGTCAGTAAATGCAGCGATTTAAGGTGCATTTAATTTGGAACATTAGGAAAACAAAATGATTTTGTATTTTTAATTTCAGTGTTTCTTTATCCATGCTGTATATTTACGGAGTATCAAAACTATGCTTAAGTGAATCAGGTACTCAGTTTATCAACTTGACTGTGCAGACTCTGGGCCAGAACTGAATCACACGTTTCTAAGTTAACACCGTCTGGAAGTGTTGTGTCTACAGTGATTTTAAATCAAAGAAAAAGATTTCTGTAATTTTTCTCTAGTAATACCTTGAGGCTGCAGAAGGAGCAGTCCCAAAAACAAATTGGTGGCTTAGTCATAGGGGTTTTTTTATGACAGTGTTTACAAAGGAAGAATAAAAATGGGAATTTCAGGCTACTAACATTTGAATTTGCAACAAAACTTGTTATTGGGCTGTAAAACTGTCGTAACCTGTCTGGTGAAGTAAAGACTGAAATAATCTCAGAATTAGAGCTTGTGCTTTTTATTGGTTTTTTACTTTTTCATAGCTGGAAGGGCACAATGTCTTCTCCAATCTGAGCTCCAGCGAATATGAACAAGTACTTGAGATCATCCGGAAAGCCATCATTGCCACAGACCTTGCCCTGTATTTTGGAAACAGAAAACAACTTGAAGAGCTGCATCAGACAGGAGCATTAAACCTTAAGAACCAAACACACAGGTAAAGCAGCAAACCAGTAGTAGATCCCTATGTCATTAGGCTAGAAAGAGAAACCTTATTTAAAAAAAAAAAAAAAACCTCTGAATGGTAATTTTCTTACATATGTGATCTCTAAGACCAGCAGTGTGTAAAATTACACATAAGTAACAGTAATTGCCATTGCTTTATATTTGCATTGACCCTTAAATGGCTGATGACTTCCTCAACTTAGGGGAAGTGCACTTTGCATTTATTAGTTGATTATACTGCGTATTTGTGTATTTTCTCTGATATATTTGTCTGTTGGTACAGTTTTAATGACTGCCATCACACTGGCATGCAGGTTAGCAAGATCTATGCTTTTTCACATGGAATATGCATTATTAACAAAGATGCAGGTGTCCTTAAGGGCCATCTTAATTTCTCCATTGGGTGAAAACAAGTGAATTTAAATTAAATTGCCAGTTTTCTTTATAAATCTTAGATTCACAAAACATAGATTTGTGCTATAAAATTGGTTCAATTGGATTTCTTTGTGTGTGTGCCTTATTTTAGTAATTATTTTAATACTCCCGATGTTCAGTTACTCTGTGAACAGGTTTGTCAGCATATAGGACAGTGTTACGCATTGGATTCATCTGATGTCCAAGTTTGAATTCATTCCAACAAACCAATGACAGCGCCTTGAGACAGACTCAGAAGTAGTCTTTCCTCTTTTTTAGGAGCTTTTTTCCCTCTCTTTTTAAAGAACAAGGAAATGCAGCAATTTCTTTTTACAGACTGGTACTGTATATTCAGAGAATTATAGAGGGGCATGTGAGTGTTTAACAGGCAGGCATCCTGTGCCCTTGCCTATGGATGTGATTGTGTAGAGAATGGTCAATGAACTCTGGTTGCAAACAATGTAGGGAATATAACAAGGGATGCAGTATAGAGTCTGTGCCATTCCTTATCAAATAATCAAACAAATGAGGAAGAAACAATAGGTGGGAGGAAATTCGTAGTGTGGATACATTGCTGCTGATTCAACTGAGGAAGGGCAAATGAAAACTTTGCAGAGCAATCATTAATTCTTTACGAAACTTATAATTTAATGTTGTTTTATTCTATTTTAGAGATAGAGTGATTGGCCTGATGATGACAGCTTGTGATCTGTGTTCTGTAACAAAGTTGTGGCCAGTTACCAGGCTGACAGCCAATGATATATATGCAGAGTTCTGGGCTGAGGTATGTGTGATTCTTCTGTTTGCTCTCCTTATAAACAGAAGCATCCAGGAAGGAAAAACCCAACTATAAGTATATTTCAATCAACATCTTGGTGTGTTTGTTGTAAAGAGAGTTCACTGGTGCATGTGTGTGTTCGTTGCTTACTCTGAAGTTATTTAAAGAGCTGAGTTAGCTATCTGATTTTCAGGCAGTCGATTTTCTCTCTGTTCAAGATAATGTAAGAAGTATGTCCTAACATAAAGTGACCAAGCAACAGAACATAGAAGAAGTCACTAACTGTAGTTTTTTGTATAAATGCAAAATATGAAACCAGCTTCTAGGTCAGCTGCCTTGAAACATACTTATAGAGCTATAGTGTGAGTACAGAAAATGCTAAAGTAAATATGAAAAACATTAAATTTATTTTGAGTCTTCTTTGTGAGCCAGCCCAACAACAGTGTCTCAGAGAGAGCTGGGTCTTCAATACATAGAAAGTTACTCTACAATTAATGTGTACTGAGAATTGAAACAAGGAATTAAGCTGTAGTAATGTAATCATGTTCATAAACAAATATGCAGTCTCTCACATGTCATATGCTGAGGTGTAAATATCCTAATTGTTTAATTTTTAAGTGGAAGTGACTGCTCTGGGGATAAGAAATAAATTGCATGGAGTGGAGTTATGCAACTTTAGGAGATATGATTGTATTTTCAGGACTACAATTGCACATGTCTATGATAAAGTGTTTTTCTTTTCTGTTATGTTCCCTGTGGAATCTTGCAGTTTTCAGTGGGCTTATTTCTGTTTTATACAGGAATAAAATAGAAATCAAGCCCGTGGAGTTTATGTAGCATGCATGTAGTGTGGAGATTGTTATCCTGCCTGTTGCATGTTCATTATGAAATTCCAGATGTGTGCTTCTTGTGGGTGTACTTCATATTCACATATTCTTGTTCTCTTAATTGCAAACAGCTCAGACTACAACAAAATATTTGAAAAATGCTGACTGTGTAAGCTCAAACATCTAGTCTAGTTCAGCACTGACTTTCTGAAAGGCCTGCACTGGAAAGTGAGTGTTCTTATGAGTGGTAGAATGGAGGTATAATGTTGACATGCCTCACTGATTACATACTCAAATTTTTTGCCTATTAGTAAAAAGACTTTTCTTGCAAATCTTGTGAGCTCAGTGGAGAAGGCAGGATAAAAATTATTTTCCATACTCAAAAATAGTAAAGATGGAATTATGGACATAATTGCGCCTGTCCAGATGTTAATCTTTTAGTAATCCAAGGATGAGTTTATAAAGGTAGATGTTGATATATATTGAAAAGACAATTTTTGACAAAGAGGGTACACTGTAAATTCATCCGGTTTACTTAGCTTTTCCTTGGATGGGTGTGTTGTGTTCTGCTGGTCATTGTATTATGTTGCTTTAAACAGGTATTTTGAAACACGAGACTAACTGAGCAGAAAGAGCAGAATAGAATGATTTCTTTGGGTTTCGTCTTCCAGTTGCTTTTTATTATGGAGGGACACTTGGAAACAAGGAAATTGTGTGTGCATTGACTTACAGCATCTGCTGTAATGTACAAAACGAGCCTCTCCTTGTGCATTTTTCTGAGATTGCCTCAGAGTGATACCACACATTATTTTAAATTCTGGATTGTTAGATTGACATAGAATAGAAGATGGAAATTAATTCAGGTCTCAACAGTCTTGTTTTTGTTTTCGTAATCTCTCTCTCTCTCTATTTTTCTCCAGGGCGATGAAATGAAGAAAACAGGTATTCAACCTATTCCTATGATGGACAGAGATAAGAAAGATGAAGTCCCTCAGGGTCAGGTATGAACTCTTTCAGTAAAATGGTACTTGTTTATACATAAAACATGTATGGAAAAAAACCCACTTCATATATTAATGAATATTGCTTTTGAAACTGGGTTATTCAGACTGCTGAACTTGATGTTATTTTTTAAAGCAGTAGTGGAAAATTTGTTTTCAAATTTTGATTAAATGACAATGTGTTCTTTGCTGTCATCACTTTTTTCTTTCTTTGTACTTGTAGCTCTAGCTAAGACCACAATCACCTTGAATTTTTACAAGTGTCATCTTAGTAAGTGGTTGTTTCAGCCCTTAGGTAGTGTCCAAAGGAGGGTAAGAATGATGGTGAAGGGCTTGAGGGGAAGCCCCATGAGAGGCAGCTGAGATCACTTGGTCTGTTCAGCCTGGAGAAGAGGAGACTGAAGGGAGACCTCACTGCAGTTACAGCTTCCTCATGAGGAGAAGGGGGAGAGGATGGTCTGACACTGATCTTTTCTCTGCAGTGGCCAGTGACAGGACACGAAGGAGTGGCCTGAATTTGTGGCAGGGAGGTTTAGGTTGGATATTAGGGAAAGGTTCTATACCCAGAGGGAGATTGGGCACTGGAACACACTCCCCAGGGAAGTGGTTACCAGCCTAACAGAGTTCAAGAAGTATTTGGACAATGCTTATGGTGTAACTCTTGGGGATGGGCCTAGGCACAGTTGGACTTGATGGTCCTTGAGGTCCCTTCCAACTCATCATATTCTTTGATTCTGTGATTTTCATTGAGCCTGAAGGTCTGTAGGGTGACTGGTTCTAATGTCCTATTTTAGTTTTTAACAATTACACAGTAATCTTTTTCCATTGAAATAAAATAGTTCCCCTTAAAAACTAGCAAACAAGAAGATAAAAAAAATCCAAAACAAATGGACAGAAAATGAGGCACTATATTAAATAGTGTGGATGAGCAGACATCCCATCTGTATGTAGCCTTGCCTTCTAAACAGCTGCAGTTTCTTTATGTTGGTTGCACTGTAAGTACTTCATCTCTGTAAGTACTTCATCTGGGTTCACAGCCCAGGAAATGTATCTTATTTTAATTTCAAGTACATAGATTACTTGGTTACATAGCAGTATGGGATGAATCTTTGTGTCGATGAAAACAAGAACTGTTCTTCAATTTCTGAATAAGGATCAAAGTTTGGACTATTAAAAAAAGAGATATTATCAAATGCTTTAGTTGTGGTACAGTACATAGTATTTCACTAAAAGGCATTTAAAAATTCTGCCCAAAGGAAGGGATCATAGTACACTATTGTAGCTATCATAAGAGGCTGGGATAAGTGAGGGATGTTATAATGAATCTGAATGTAATCTGTCATCCTTGATAATATATTAGGTAGCATTTTCTAAAAATTTCATCATGTCATGACAATTCAGCTGTGACGTCATAGCCGTCACAGGCCCCTAAGCCTCTGTGAGTCAGGTATCATTAAAAATGCGCTCATTTGGTTTTCCCTAAATAAGATAATGGTAAAAATGTATTATTCAACTGTGTACATGAGAAGCAACTGCAAACCACTCATTGATCACACTGCACACGATCCACAAATGTGTAAAGCCCCCAGCATTTTAAGTACATTGAGCTATGCAATGCATACCCTAGAGGACATCAGAACAATCCATAATCTGACCATATTTTGTGAATGCTGCACAACCTTTCTTTTTTTAAAAAATAAAATCATCACATGAATAATGTTTGCAGAAATGTCTCTAACATCTCCACCTACTTCCCACTGCTACTGACACCAAACAGGTAGACATATCCTGAACAAAAGAAATTAATCAATTGAATAATAAGAGGTTCTGTAGAAAACCTTATTTGAAGCAGCCATATAAGTCATGAAAGAAAGGCATGTAAGCAGCTTGTAATTACCAAAGATTTCATGGTTGTTGCTTATTTTAAAGCATCTGGATGTTAAAGGGAGATGCAGAAGTGTGAATAACTAATACAAGTAGTAATTAAGTAAAGAGCTTTGAGCTGTTAGCTTCCAGTATTGTAGTTTGGCAACAATTAAACTATTTTTTCTCATTCTTGTTTTTCATAGATTGGGTTCTACAATGCTGTAGCTATCCCATGTTACACCACTCTTGCACAAATCTTTCCTCCAACTGGGCCACTACTCCGAGCATGCAGGTGAGTAAATGTGCATAGCTGATATCTTGGTCAAGGAAAAAGCAAGAGTGCTTTGCAAGTTTGTCTGGAAATACAGATTTTTAATTTCAGAATTTGCATGAACATCAACAGGGATACACGTCTCACATTAATCTATTCAGAAACACAGAGGTGATAACTACTGTCTGGGACTGTCCACTGTAGATCTACAGGAGCAACAATCTGGGAAGACAAATATCTTTTGATTTCTGGCAACATGGATATCCCAATGAAGCTTATTTGCAAAAGTGGCCTGTTGTACCTGGTGGTTCATCTTTTAGAACTCAGATGAGGATATTTAAAGTTGAATTGTGGATATCAAACACCCACATAAGCATGTGCTCTAGATAAAGGTTTCCCTAATTCTGAAGATCAAGCATGAACCTATTTTCAATTGTTGGTTTCTCTGTAAAAGGTGTGATGTCTGAAGTAAAAGCAATCAGCCTCCTGGCAGAGATTATATGAGTTTTTTCTGTTCCAGAAATTATGTTTGTTGTTTGTAATTCAAATTGTTATAATGGTACTTCTGAAAGCTACACTGGCACAGTCTCCACACTGGTTAGAGCTCTGGACAGACAGCTCCCTGTCTTGCTGTTGTGTATTCTTTAATTTAGATTGTGCTAATACAGTACTGAAAGGTAGATGAGTAGATAGGTAAAGCCTCTGCAGGACTCAACTTCTTGAAAATCCACACCCTGGAATAAAGTCTTCTGAGGAGCAGTTTGGTAGTTTTCTCTTAGCCTTGAAATTATCCTCTGCTTTTTCTTTGAAGAGAATAAGAGGAAGTTTGAGGGTTAAGACTTGGAGATGGAGAATAGGAAATCAGAACACAGATACAACCTCAGGTGCCCCATCAGAAAAAATTGATGCTAATGCCGGGTCTAGAATATTTCAGAATGTTTCACATGGCTGGTTTTGCACTACACTTTTGTTTTTCCTGTATTTTTGATGGGTAACTGTTACTTGGTGTGATCAGAGGCATACAGCCTCATTTTTGTTTGGTGTTTCCTTAGCTGCTGACTGAAACAATTTTGATACCACCTCTTCACCAGCAGGGCTCATTCTTGAGCACAGTACTTGAGCTGCTGTGTCCTTGAGTTCTTTGAAACTCACTCACCAGCTGCAAATAATAGCAGCAAAAGCACCCAAGGCAGCATGGCAGCATCAAGGTTTTTATGGAACCTCTGCGCATTTATTCCAGACATTAGGAGACAGGGCTTTGGGAGCTCAAAGGCAAATGAATCATATTATCTACACCTTACAAAAAAAAAAAAAATCCAACACTGGTTTTCCATAAAGTAAGATAGCAGTTAACAGTCTAGGTTTTATTGTCTGATAATTTATTCCACATTTTTTAAATGCTTTCTTGTCATCCTGTGCAGATCAAGACTGTTAGCCCACCTGTGTCACATTAGCCCATATACTCACTGGGTTTACCAAAGTATAAATATATGGTAGTGTATTTATTTGGAGGATGAAGTGATTTTTTTTTCCATTATTTCAGACCAAATAATTTTAAATTATTTTCCTTGTGCTTTTGGGTCTCTCAGTTTTTGATGAAATTTATATAATTTAAAAATATTTTGGCTGCAATTCTCATTACTTCCCCAGGTCCAGGAAGGAGACAGAAATAGTGATGCTTCATTTTTTCTGATCCTTGGTGCCTGGTTGTATTAGCTGAGGCTCAATGCCGTATTAATGTTGGCTCCATAACTTCCAGCTGGCCTGAAGCACTGGCAGAGCAGAAAATGGTGTAGGTGTTACCCTAGAAGGCACCAGCCTTCTTTGGTAGAATTCATCAGATCCTGCCTTCCACCACCCCAGAAAATGCAGTGTTTTCTCTTCTTACCTTTAGGCTGTGCTTTCAGATCAATATTTGCTGGTTTGACAAATGTTTTGACAAGGCTGTGACATAAAAATCAGAAGATCTCTGCTGCGTAAATTCTGATGTAACACCATGGTATGACATACCATGGGAGAACTTTTAATACTGTTGCCATTCTGTTTGTTTACCAAAGGCATTTAAGAGCCTTTGCTTTAGTAACTAGGGATCTGACAGGATGAAGATGAAGCAGTTGGCTTTGCTCTCTTTCTGTGTTTAAAGACTGAATGCTGAGATTTGGCCATTGGTTCCAGTACCTATCATCAACACAGACTTCCCAATCACTAGAGTGGTACTGATGCACAGCAAGTAAGACTATGGGTTTGTACCCCTTCAGATCATTAGAACATTACCTTGATTGAGCTTGATTTCTCATCATTTTATGGCTTATGAACAGAATTTTGAACTTACGGACTGGCCAGGCTGTGAGGTGCTAAAAGACTCAAGGAAAGGGTACCCTTTAAATGTAGTAGACTGACAATATGATTACCACAATAGTAGTTGAAAATTGATACTATGATCCTGGCATGCAACATTTTATATACTGTCAGGCAGCCCTTTTGCAGGAGTTTCAGAAAGCTTAATCTGCTCCTGTGCTCCAGAGTGCTCTTTCAGAGTCTCTGCAGTCTTGTCTCTCTTCAGTCACAGCTGGGTTTTCCCACAGCCATGAGGACTATGAATTTGTTGCATAAGCAGGTGGTAGCTTCTAATTCAGGGCTTGCCTTGGGAAAGGAAGGTTCTGTAGGCTAGGATAGAGTTGACATGGATATGAGTGATACAGAATTACAAAATGGGATAGCTGAAGCTGAAGGCTGAACTAATGTGTAGATGACAAAAGCTTGATGACATACAGGTACTAATATAAATATATTTACATAAATATAAATCTCAAAGTATAGTACAACAGACATTATTGTGAGGAAGAAAAAAATCCCAGTCAACTTATGAAAAGTGTCTTACCTTCAGTTTTTTGCATCTCCAGGGACAATCTTAACCAATGGGAGAAAGTAACGAGAGGCGAGGAACCCTCTATATGGATTTCTTCTCAATCCCTTGCTCCTGGGACCTCAGATTCTCTTCCTGTGAAGACTGATGACTGAACAGAAGTAACAGATTGCTTTAACCTGAAAATCACCCCTTCTTGTTTTGGGGATTGTTTTTGTTTTGTTTAATTTTTATTTGAAAAAAAAAAAAAGAAAAAAAAAAGAAAAAAAAAAAAAAGGAAAGCTGCAAAATGCTAAGAAGTAGACCTGCCTAGGAGGTAACACCCATAGAGTTACCTCAGCTAAATGACTCTGGCAGCCAATCTCCTAACCTACACCAGTGACACAGCATAAACAGAGGGAAAATGACAACCCAGATGTTTTGGAGTCAGCTATCAAAACAGAACTTACAACTTGTGAAAATAAAAGACTGGCCTTATCTCATAGGCTACCTTGCTGAGGCCTTAATTTAAGACTGATGGGGGTGGGGGGGAAACTTATGGGATATTTCTAAATTGTATCTTTCTTGTAAGGGTTTCAATGGTACTTTTATTATATCCATACTGTGGCTGGCTTTAACACCAGTGTCACTTGGGAGTTCTTGGCTATAAATAGAACAATATACCCATTGCTATTGTGAATGTTTATGTGTGATCTATTTGTTCAGTTTGAACTCCAGCAGAATCCTTGGAGACTATAATTTATGCTTAGGTAACAGTGAATTCTCTTGCTGCAAACTAAAGGAAAACCAACATTCAGGTTAAAGTTTTAAAGTACTTCATTAAGCATCATGATGCCAATTGTCTGTCACTCACAAGGGAAATGTTGGTATAACTAGTGACGGTGCTTTGTTCTTTAGGATGTTTTTTAAAACTCCTCCCTTAAAACACTGGAAGTACTGGTTAATTATCTCTGATATAAGAGGGAGTTTCAGGTTGGAGGTTTTGAATTCATAGTGAGAGAAATATCAGATAAAATTTAAATGTGACAGCAAAGATTTCCTTTTGTAGTGAGCTATGAAAGTGAGCTACGAATTAAGTAAAGCCATCATTTTTATTTTTACCTGCTGAGCTGTATTTTAAAAGGTATTGGAGACATCTATCTGCTGGGAAGAAAAGCCTTGTCAGAAAAGTCAGGTCTGATAAGAGGGATTGTGGTACCATCACAATAAATCAAAAATGTTTTTTGTATTGACTAGCTTTTGTGTTGCACAGTAACACTTCATGTCTTCTACTGCTTTTTCCCCCCATGCCAAGATGAGTGAAATTAGGAAACTTCTCCATTTGTCTGTTTTTTTCCCCTAGTTAGAGAAATTTCTAGGTTTAGAAATGCCTTTCTTAGTGAAAGAATACCTGACTGAAGAAAAGTACACTAAATGGCGTGTTTACAGTTCTGTGCTGACTTAGGCCTCAGCCTTACAAACTTATGCACAGACTTACATGTAATGCCACTCTTATAAATTTACTGCAATTGTACAGAATGTTTCACAACACTTAATTTGCCTTTGTCTTTCTCTCAAAAATATTAATAAGAAAAAAAAATCTTCATAGTGATCCACACATTAGGTGAAAACACAGTCTTTACACACCTTTCCCATATAGCCTATACTGCATTATGTGATTTTTCACAGATAATGCACTCTTGTGGAGGTTCCGTGGTAACACAGCCTTTGTGTAATTGCAACGAGTAATAGTAGTGACCTAAAGACAGAACACAGGTTCTCTTTTTCCATCTCCTGTCTTTTAGGCTCTATTGCTCTAATAGGCATGCCAGCTTTTGGGTTTCTTGTGAACTTGGCCTCTTGAGTTTTGCCTTCTGTTATGGTCGAGCACATGCTAGTATCTGTTTATGTGTACAGTGTGTGATCCGTAGTCGCATAATGTATAAATGCACCTAAGCCTTTGCTGTACATAGAGATCCTACAGGCTGAGAATTCAATATGAAGTTATCTTATTTGTATGATGCATGTTACCTAGCAATAGCCTTTTTTTTTTTTTTTTAACCAATTCTAAGTGCAGAAATTCTTTGGCAAATCACAGCAAACTGGTTTGGAATTGAAAAAGAGCAAAAACAAACAAAAAGAAAAACATGGCAGGAAACAATTACAGCAAAGTAGAATGAATGATATCTCATACTGTGTCCTCTACTTTCCTCCTTAGCCATTGTGTTTCAACTAAATAATGCAGATGCAACCTTTCATCACTAAGTACTTGAGGCAGAATCCATGGTTCCTAATTTACATGGAAATTATCTACATCTATGGTGACTACAGAAGTGCTCTTTGAAATTCAGATGGCCCAACAACTGGATGGAATGTTTTTCTTTGCAGGTTAAGTATATTTGCTTAAGCATATTTGCATTAAAGATAACTTCACTTGTTCTGTTTCCTACCATCAAAAAATGTTTGGCAGTATCAACACTATGTTATGTTTTGAAGTTTGTAAGTACTGATAGAGGACACGATTCCCTGGCAAATTTGTCAAATTGGCAATGAGTTGTTTTATTAATGTCTCAAGTGAATCAGCTACTGTTTCTATTATAGAACTATCCAAACAACTTAAAATATATGTTTGCTATAGTTTAATGTCTATTAGAATTTTTAAAAATATGCTCCAGTGGATGTGGTTTGGTTTGATTTCCTGGTGCGTAAAAGGAGAAAGGTAATGACAAAATATTACTTTTTGTTAGGACTAGACCAAAAAAATTAGTCACGAGGAGCTGTTATATTTAAGCAAATGTAGTCTGTCTTAGCATTTACAGAGTACAGATTCATATGTGTAAATATTTTTTTTAAAAAAGACTTGTACCTGTACTTCCAAAGTCAAACCCACCAAAAGTTAGAAATTTGGAGCTGCATTTGAATTTCATGGATCAAAGACATGTTGAGATCTAATTGTTCAAAGTTCTGAACTCAAACTCGCAATTGATGAAGACATCTAGGTTTGCAAGACATCTGACTCAGTAAGTTAAATTGTCCAAAGTCATTCCTCCTTGCATTTTTATCCTACTAAAACTCATCTTGCCCAAAAGAATATATAAAAAGCTTAACAGATCTTTCCTTTCCTAGAAGTGTTAGATTTTATATTCTTAGAATTGCATTTTTCTTGATAATAATTGCAGCTGCTTTTCCCTCCTACATCTAGTAAATGTAAAAACACTGTTTGAAGCTGTAACTGAGCATTTCTAGTGTATTATGTGCCTGAAAATGTGCCTGAAAGGTATGCACTAAGTGAGAAAAATAGTTGACATAGCATGATACTCATCTGAGATGCTGCATGTTTTATTACAGCATGACAAATTCCATTGTTACAATTAATTGATGAATTTTGTATGGTTTTGCAATATTGTACTCACATGGTTCAACTCATTGCAGTAATTTTTTTTCTATAAGTAATCATTAAAGAAATGAAACAGGGTTTTTTAGCTGGAGTATATGATCAAGCATGTTAAATTGGAGGGGACATGCAGAGTGGAATTCATCTTTTTATGTGACACAGATTTCTTTCCTGTGTGTAAACTTAAAACAGTATGATCAGTTTGCTGTGACTGCACTTAGAGCATATAGTGTTAAAATTGTTGGAGTAGCAAAAAGCAGTATTCATGTTAAAAAAATAGAGATTATTAGATGCTCAAATCAATCATGACCCTCTTGAAATAATGCATTTGCCTCAAACACTGTGATATTGGACCAGTTCTTTGAAGTGGAACAATTAATTTATTTATTCTAAACACAGAAAAGGCTTTCTGCACACTACTACAAGGAAGTTAATGTTCAAACTTTAGGTTCTATATCCCAATCTAGCAAAGGCACATCATAACTTTTGTTTGCTTTCTGACCAAAAACTGTGCTCGATTGTAATACGGGTGTATACTCTGTCAAATAAACCTAAAATAAAAGACTGCTTCCTAGGGTAGATCAAACTGATTTGTAGAGTAGTTTCATAAATATTCCAAATTCAGGTTGGGCTGTTACGTGGAGAAGAAAGAACTTCAAGGTAACAACATTCAACTTTATTACATTTAGTGAGCTGAAAATTTTGTTATATATATATATATTTACACACATACATATATATATATATATGATACATATAAACTATCTTTGTAAAAATATGCAAGTGCAATAATTTAAAGAGGTCTTAACTTTGCATTTATAAATTATAAATACTGTACATGGTGTGTAATTTTTTTTCATGTATTCATTTGCAGTCTTTGTATTTAAAAAACAAACCTAAACCTTTACTATTACGTTTGTACAATAGAACAGTAAGCATTTATTATATCGTTAAGTTGTAAATAAATTCACAAACCAAACAGCCAGTACATATGCATATATGGGTGTCCTATTGTGAAACCTGTTTCTGCTTTTACTGCTGCCTTTAGCACAGCAAGACAACTTCTGTGGATATGTAATTATACATATAAATATATGTATGATACATAAAATATATTTAGAAATGTTCATAATTTTAATGGATATATCTATACATATACTTTGGTGTGGATATTACTGAATACAGAGTTTTTTAATATTATTTTTCATGTTTATTTTTGCTGTTGTTGGGAGTACAAGTGAGGGATGGGAATGTGTGTGCATATATGTGTGTTTATACAAGTAAAACACAGCACAAGGTGATTCAAAACACGATGGAGTCTTTTGAACAGGCAGTGCTTGTCATTCCCTGTATGTGCAGTGTCCTGCTTAATGTATGTTTTCCCAACATAAGGCTTTTTTCAATATAGTTTTATCACCTTTTGCAGGTTCACGTCACAAACTGCAAAGGGACCTCCTTTTCTGTTTGTCCTCCTCCTGTCAGGAGCTTACCTTGCTTCTGATGGACAGCTTCCACATAAATCCTTGCTTTGCCACAGTCTAATGCCAGTGCAGCTGATACAGAATCATTTCCTACCTTTGGGAATTATTGAGATACTTAGATGCTGAATTGTAAAAAAAAACTAATTCTGCACCCAAATTTGTAAGGTCTAGTCCAAAGCAATATAGGATTTTAACAGCTGCAAGTATCCTGAAAATACAAGGTAGCTTCAGAGAACTATAAAGCAAAATTCTGAGCAACACATTAAAAATTAAATTTAAAAATAGCTGAAAAAAAGGCGAGAAAATTAAATCTGTGTATTTCTCCACTTACCATATACTCTTGTGACCAGTCCTTCCAGAAAGCTCTGCTGCAGGGCCAGCTTTTTTGATAAGAGAGAAACTGCACTGACATTTAATGACTTTTTGTTCATTAAATTTAAAACTTTCTGAATTGTTGAGGTGAACACTCCATGTGTGGAGGCACAAGGTTTGACTCCATGTTTTTCAGAAGGCTGATTTATTATCTTATGAGATATATTATATTAAAATATTACATAAAAACTATATTAAAAGAACAGAGAGAAAATATAATCAGAAGGCTACAAAGAACAGGAATAGAATAGAATGCATAACAAAATCTTGTGACTGCTCACAGCCTCGGCACGGGTGGCTGTGGTTGGTCATCAATTGAAAACAATCTACATGGACTAATGGAAGATGCACCTGTTGCATTCCACAGCAGCACACAGTTATTGTTTACATTTCTCTCCTGAGGCCCTCAGCTCCTCAGGAGGGGAAAAATCCTAGGAAAGGATTTTTCATAAAATATCATGGTGACACCAAATTATTTTGAGGGAAAGGCAATAGAAGAGGAATGTTTCTTTAAATACAATTAGTACTTCACACTTGTTTCTGTATTGTTGGCAAGGATCTATAGGCTGACGTCAATTAATGACTTTCTGGACGAGATTTTAAAATTGGTGGCAGTCAGTCACATGCCTTTCCATATTTTTCTGGTTGTTGTTAGCTCTTGTAGCACAGTATGTTGCTTTGCTGTTGATGGTCACTATTTGGTGTGTTTTTCTTAGCATTTTTAGCATTCCTTTCACATTGAAGAAAATAATCAGAAATGTACAAAAATCAAGCCTGAGTATATTCCCTTGCAGATAATGGAAAATATAAACATAAAAGTGCGTTAACTTAGGCTTATTTATATTTGTAGAGGAAATGAGTATTGCTGTTGGTCTTGAGGAAGTTTGAATTTGTCTTATTTGAAAAAATCCAAGAGCTCTGGGACAGGAATATCAATGGCTTTCACCTGCTCAACAAGTATTCAAGATTACTTTGTTGTACTTATTTTACAGTTACTGAAGACAATTATTTACTGAAGACAATTACTAAGGGCGATATTCCCTTTCTTCAATCCATAGTCTGTCTTCCTGATGATCACCCTAAGAAATTCTGTTCAGCAGCCAGACTATATGCCATGAACCATTCCTTTAGGAAATCTATCTTAAACTCATTTTGGGCTAACACAGCCAGAGTAATATATTACAGCAAGGGGAAGCTAACCCTTTAGATCTGCTAAGTGTGATTGAAGCACATTACTCATTTTCTCAATATCTGGGCAGTTTTATCCAAGAAAACAACAATTGTAGGGAAAAATCTCAGTCAAACGACAATGTTAAAGATAAAAAAAATGCCTTTGCCTGGACTTCAAACCAGAGCCAGCTGCCAGAGAGAAACCCACAGAAAATTTACTGTTGCAGGGTATGCACAAATCTAACAAGTCTAACAAATTTTGCCTTACAACATTAAATTATTAACAGTATCAATACAAACCTGGGTATAGACTCTTTGTCAATACACGGGGGTTTTTTTCTTGATGATAAGACCATGCAATATATCTCCTCTGCCTCCACATACTGTGAAGCTGACAACATTTCAGTAAGGTCTTGGGGAAGACAGGCACAGTGCAGAAAGGTATATTCTTTTGTTAAACACCTCAGCATTAAAGCCTTACCAGGGCTGGGGAGGGAGGCTGGCAGAAGTGAGAGTCAAAGGAAATGGTCTTCAGTGGATCCAGATTCCCTGCATAATCCAATATAACCAACATAAAGGAAATGAAAGAGAGATATCTCCTGGCATCGGAATACTGGCGGAAGTTCTCTGTAACCAAGGCAGAGAACAAGAGTCTTTTCCTTTCTCTTTCCAAATACTCTCTTTCCAAACCATGTCCTAATCCTAATTCAGCAAAAATATTTTTGGTTGTTTGGTTGGGGTCTTTTTTTAACCAGTCCAGATTTTCTCTAGACTGAAAAACATCCTTGTTAGTGGGTAGCATTTTAGATTACAAGTGCAAATGACAAAAGTATCTGATGGACAGCAAAATCCACAGCTATCAGAGATGGAAATATTATAGTTTACGACTTAAACATTTTCATTAAGGACTTTGAAAACTGTATTATGAAAGATGCACAGGAGACCATCACAATCTGACCAAGGTCCTATATCACTGAGTGATGAAGAGAAGAAAACAACTCAGGGCTGAGGACATTCACAAAGCACAAGCCTAATACCTTCGGGGCTGAGACTGCAGCCCCAGGGCTGTCAGCTTCCAGGCTTCACACAGATACTCACACCGAAGGGTGGGGGGCAAAAAGGCTTTGGCCATGTGGTAAGAAAGACTCTGGTGAGATGCAGAGACTGCCCATCCTCTGCTGTGCAGACCAGCCCAGCTGTAGGGCCCTTCATCCCAGGGAAAAGCTTATCCACAGGGTGTCATGGCCCATCAAAGGCCTCCCACAAGGGGTCCCCAGACCCTGCACCAGAGCACTGCAGCATGATGCAACAGATCCATAGTGTTGCGAGGGACAGTGTCAAACTGGCCCCCTGAAAGGGAGGCACCTGGGCATTCCCACGTGGCCCAAGACACATTGATTCATGGAATTCTATACTCTTCAGCATGGCGTGGCCTGGTGTGGTGATGGGGGACCCTCACCACCAAGACAACTAGATGGAGCGGAGCAATGAGACATTCTTGGGATCCCTGGAAGGATGATATGCTTCCACCTAACCCCTGTCACTCTTTCTCTGTCCCCATCCTCCCCTGCACACTTCTTTTTCTACTTCTTTTTTTCTTTTCTCTTACTTTCTCGCTGTCTCTTTAACTATTAAATAAAAATGTATCAAATTTTTTGCATCAATATTTAATATTGTTTGGATTCAATCTCATTTAGGAATATTTTGAACCTTCAAAGATTTTTCTGTTTTATACATAGAGACTAGCTTTCTTTGTTCTTCTGGATTAAATCAGTTTGTAACACCAGCACACCAGAAGAGTATGCAGCCCTCTGGGGTAGCACTGAACCACTCTGGGGGGGACCCATTGCCTTGCCTTGCATTACCGTTCAGTTCAGAGCGTCTCAAACAAGAGAAGGGGAAAAGAAGAGCAATTTTTTTTTTTTTTAAACTCTTGAGAATGTCGCTCTTTCTTCACTGCCTTTCTCCCTCTTGCTTGCTTGAACATCAAGGATGTGAGAAAATGACCCACACTCTTGAACTGAATTTTTAAAAACTTATTAAAGGACAATAGGGGACAAAATCAATAAAGCAAAAGTAACAGCACTGGGTGCATAGCCATAGCCAGAGGCACACTGGCACACCAGCTAGCCATAGCAACTCTTCTTATATATCCTTTCTAGTGTATCTGTCAAATACATACTCACAAGGATTATAAATATTCAAACATTTCTTTGAACTCATTTACATGTTCCAGAAACTCTTTAACATGGTTCAGCCCCTGCCCCACCTTTTTAGAGCATGTGCAGTAACTGTGGATGTGGTTTTGAGGGTCGTGTGTCACCTCCTCACAACGGCCCCCTCTTCCATGGTTTCAGCAGGTGACAGTTGTTGATAGTCAAAGTGTCAGTAGCAGGGGTCCTCATCACATCCTTTCTTCAAATATTATCTGACCATACAGACGGTTTTAGTTATTTCAGTTATTGTAAGTTAACCATAAGTACTCTAAATCAACATCAGCTATTTCCAAATACATCTGAGTTATTTTCATTATTGCCAGTTAGTTACAAAAATAAAAGCATTAGTTGTAGCATCCCGTGAACTCCCTCACCCCAGCCAATTCCCAATGGCATTGCCTAGGAAAAGACTTACCATGGAGTTCATTCCCCCTGTGGCAAAGACAAGACTCCCTCATGGACCTCTACCTCACTTGCCCGTATTTTGCAACAACCCTGGTTTCTCCTTTCCCTGTTTCCTCATTGGGTGGATACCCCTGGTGGCTGCCCCCTCTCCCGTGGAGACCAATCCACTTTGCCCTGCCCCTAGCTCTGCCCCTCCATCCCTTCCCTTTCTTAAGCTGTCTGCAACACGCTCTTGCTCTTTTTTCACCTGGGTTCCCTTTGGCTTGCACACAATAAATCTCACCAGAATTAACTCCTGTGAAAGAACCTTCTTGCTTCTCTCGCTGAGCCAGCTGTGGTGAGTGTGGTGTGTGGGTCTGACTGCGTTGCCTGAACGTTAATCCAACTGGCTTTTCCACAGGAGATGTTCATTGGAAACAAATAATAGGCAGCAGCACCCACC